AATGTGAGCGGGCGAGCTCGACGTTAACCCGTTTTAAGACCATTCCCGATTATAGGCGGATAGTTCTAACCTATATAGAACCAAGCATGTCTACGTGACTCTCTTCTTTCACACTTAAAAATGTTGCACTACATTCAAGTACATGTTCGGACATCAGATACCAAGCTTCCGTGACGTACGAACTAGATCTTGTGACACAAATTTCCCGAAAATTATATGTGGGCGGAGAATCATTATTATGGTTGAACAAGACTCTGAGCATGGTATAATCTTTATTATGTTTATTATAATCATATTATTACCGACCCACGGATGTGGTCACGGGAACAGTAGTATGTTGTTAAAAACGAATCATAACAAATCTGTTCTATGTCAATGTGAGCGGGCGAGGTCGACATTAACCCGTTTTAAGTCGACGATTCCGGTTGTGGGCGGATTTTTCCGGCGTGTTTGACGCAGCCGTGCGTCGACGTCGACGTCAGTGTCATTTGAAGTAACCCACGTAACGACCACATCGATATCGCCGTGCACGTATTACACTGATCATCTTACGGCCCTTCCACTCATCATGTATGGATGGACACACATAAGTGGTATGATGAACTGGATGAGTGTTTGACATGACACGGGTTGTTAACATGATTGGTTGATGATGTGTGCAACTCAGGTGGGCTTACGGGGGGGGGGGCGGTGTGGCCTATCATATTCTTTTTTTTCTGGCTGTATGTCAGGTCTCAGAAAGAGTCGGCACACAAGAAACCGCATACAGATTAGTATGTATAGTTTAAGTGTCATTGCTGTATCCTTTTTCCTTGTCTATTCATGTATTCTGTACTTAGCTTGTTAGAGCACAAACGTACAATAAAGGTCTTTCACTCATTAAAGAAGAAACACATTTCTTGGGTCATGCTTTTGGGACACGCATTTTATGTAACATATCTGCACAACTAGTGTATTTCCTCTCAAGTATTCCTCTATTTCTACCAATTTCTACATGTTTTCATGGGGTTAAGAAGGGAAACTCCTTGATGTTTTCATGATCAACACACACAGTTTTCTGGTGGAGACTAGCAAAAGGCTGCATGTTCTCAAGTTTGCGTATCTATTCCAATGAGAAACCGTGTTCCCAGTCAAGCCATAAAATAATGAATATTAAGGACATGGTTAACACTAGTATATCATCACATACTTAGTTCTGCTATAATATACATTACATAGACATTATTTCTGCTGCGAAACGCCAATGTTGTTCTTATTCACTAAACAAAACAAAAGTCACCTTGAAATTTCCCTACTTCGAGGGACAAATAAGGAGCTAATTCCGTGCCTCTGCTGGCATGGCTGGAGCTCATGTAACATGGTCCATGATGCAGACTTCCGGCCTTACTCCTTGGCTCGTGCATGAATTTATTTCCTCCTGATCAGTCCGGAAGCTCCGCTGTGGCATCAGGCCAATATAATCGCCAGGCAGGACGGACGGAAGGATGACTTCTTCTCATACTTCCTGTTTCTTTATGAAAAGGCCGTTATATGTCCTTATTCTAGGGGGCAATAAAGGTGAACACAACGTAATGCTTCATATTTTCTTATCGGTCCAGTATACTCGCCAGGCAGGACGGACGGAAGGATGACTTCTTCTCATACTTCCTGTTTCCTTATGAAAAGGCCATTATGCCCTTATTCTAGTGGGCAATAAAGGTGAATATAATGTAGTGCTTCTCGTTATTTTTTTACCATCATGGCTGAGTGTACTTTGATATAAAATTCTCTCTCTTTCAAATAACTTGATGCGGTTTTTTCTTTCCATTTTTAAGTCATTTCTTTTCTTAAAAAGCGATGATATTGCATTATAATTAATTTTGATTTTGTGTGGCAGTCGAATGACAATATGATAATTGTATCATAAGAAGACTTCCTGTTTTCACCCAGCCAGATAGGTGTAATGTAATAACGGTCAACTACGCACTTCCTCATTTTGAAATTCCGTATAGAAATCCAATCCCCTGATGCATTCCACTTACCCTTCCAGCGGATATTATTCATATCGGAAATTAAAAAGCGACAACACATTTTTGATAAAACGTGAAATCGGTATCATTTTTCGGAATATTTCGTTGCCATTATCATGTATATCCTAAATATGCCATTAGTACGTTGTGAAATACAGGAATATGCTGTATCAAAAACGCTGCGATCTTTTGCTATGGATGCACGAGCCATAACATTGCCACGCATGTAATTCAAATTACCAATACAGATCGGTCGGTACCAGGTCTATTTTTAACACGGCCAACGCCCTGCTCTGAAGTCACGAAGGCAGAGACAGATTTACCTGGTTGCCATGGGCAACGGTTCTATTTGTTTGGTTTGCGTAAGCCGGTTCAGGTGTGTGGAACGGGGAACGCCCTTATTAAGATTTCTGATGAAAATTCATGGCGCGGCGGGCAAAATTTAGGTCGCCTGCATATCAAAAACAAGCGCGGAAAAATTACAATAATATAGCTGTGCGTTTTACCAAACGATATACGTTCGTTCAAACGTTACACAAGTGTCTGTACACCGTGTATACGGTTGTCTGTAGTGCGTCATGCCCTGAACACTGCGGTTTTGTGTTGGCATACCTGCCATACCGGTTAGTCAACACCACAAAACCTTTTGTACACACGCTGGCGGTGGGGGAGGGGGGCAAAAGGGCAGGCAGTGGGAGACTGACACATTCTACACATCCGTATACATTTTCTGAGAATTTCCGCAGATTTAATATGATAGGAGTTCGATTCATAATAAATATGCAGAGTTGTTTTTGTGGTTGTAGAATCGATTTGTGGTTTATTTATATAAGATTGGATTATCCACTGCCGCGGGCGGTAAACCTAGCAGAACCATCGGCAAACAAAAGTGACCTTTTTCTTGGAAAACCCACACCGCCACTGTGTCGAATTACTGAGAAAAAAACTGAATAATGTTCTAAAAATATATTCAACTACATATATACATTCTGTACTTTGAGGAATGGATACTATAGCTAGCACTAGTAGCAGAGAATATAGACACATATGGACACATTTTTTATGAACACCGTATGCGCTTAGCCTCTACCAGGCACCGCGGATCGCTGGAAAAATACTAGTAGTAGAAATTGGCCGAAATAAAGGGATACTATAACAGAGAAGATCCCGGGCCATAGAAGATCTTCTATGGCCCGGGATCTTCTCTGGTATACTATCCCTTTATTTCGGCCAATTTCTACTATTTTTTCCAGCCATCCGCGTTGCTTGGTAGAGGCTAGTATGCGCATGCATGTATAAACATTATAGACATGTACTCCATGTACATTCAATGACTCACTAGCCCGGTATAGAGTGCAGGAAATAGTTTGATGTCTGTTGAGGGGGAATTGAGAACGGGTATGACGCGGGTTAGCTTCCTGGTGACGTCAGACCAAACAATCTCACGACCTCACGGACGTTTTGTGTGACCGGAGTTTTCATTAGGTTTCTCCCTAAAACAAACATCGCTGCGCTGGATCTATTCACGTGTATATACGTAGTAGCGTTACGTCCAAGAATAACGTCAATGTCTTTCTTCACGGCCAAAGTTGTTCCTGATAGTGTTCACTGGAGTCAAAATATTTACAATTCCATGTTACAAAATATTTACAATTCCATGATATTTACCATTGTATATATACTACTAGCATGGAGTTAAACCTCCTTGCTACTAGTATGTACCTTCCTTTGTCAGTGGTGGGGCTAAGATTAGCAACCTGCTTGAGTTGCCCACCACTGTGTGTCTGTAAATTTCCATGTTGCTCAATAAAAAAATTATATTACAATTCAATTCAATTATTACATGTATTATTAGTTTCGACTACACCAGTACTAGTATATAAATATGTATATTCTACTATAATACTACTGGCGAGTTGCAGTAGCAGTTTGGTATCAAATAGCTTTTCTTTAGGGATTTTCCTGTCACCGAAGGTTTACCGAGAAAGTGAAAATATTTCCAGAGAACTTTCCGCAGCTTTGTTTTTTGATAGCAGGTGACAGATCTATCCTATTGGGGATTCTAGATCGAAATCCCCCGTGTTTTTTATTCGCCTTATTTGGAGTTAATCGTAGCAGGTACATGGAACATGATTCGGGCAATTTGCCTGCGCTTGAGGGGCCTTCCCCTTTCTGAAACAGGTTTTAATATTCACACTTGCTTCCTGTTTTCCTCGGCAAGTGAGGATATTTCTGTACGTGCCTGAGGCAGAGCCTTTCCAACCCGAGCCTTTTGTGGCTACGAAAAACCGCCTCTTCTTAGAAACGCTCAGTGTTTGTGTGGTACTGGCAGATCGCCAGACGCGTGTTCAAGGTCTTGTCTCGCGTAGCTTACCGCCGCGGAAAGGCGGATTTCTGGAGAATTTGGCGGCGTATTTTTTTTTTCTGTTCCTAAGTCTCTTTCCACCTGCGCCCCCGCTCCATTGTTCTATACACACGTTTCCTGTCGCTGCCTGAAGTGTTGACGTTACTTTCGTCTGTTTAGACAATTTCGAAATAACAAAATCTAGAATACAGTACGTGTTTAGACTAGACAATCTTCAACTCATATTTTGATGGAAGATTGTATTATTGTAAATCTGTTCAATGGTACTATCCAAGCAGAGGTTTGAGTTTAGGTTTAAAAAGATACCGGTACCAGTGCAAAAAAATAAATCCCGATAAAAAAAGCCTAAAAACACACCCAAAATAAGCCAAAACCCAAACCTCTGCTTGGAGACTATTCAATGGTAACATTTTTGCCGCGACTGTGCCCATCGTAATATCTATTTCAGTATAGTAAGAAAGCAAACTTAGGGTGTACTAGTATGTTTGGTGAACTAGTTCAGGTACCAACTAGACCAAAACAGATCAGCAGACAGTGATTCCGACCGAGTTAAGTCATTGCGTATCAAATTACGGGGCGCGAAAAGGACATTAAATATGCACATAAAAACCACACGCACAAATGTATTCATGTGTCATCATCCGATGGGACAATTTTATTCCCAGAACATGACGTAAGGCAACGCATCACCTGCGTTACCGTAACAACAGCGAGTCACATTGCAAGTATGTACATATCAGGCTCAAGTGTTCTCTTGGAGCCATACAATCTCACATCTCAGGTTCCAGCATAAATTAACGATAAAAAAACATGTACAGTTTCATAAGTACTCTCCAATGGAGTACGCAGTTGTACGGCTTGTCGAGGTTTTTTTTCCTAGACTACAATATTTACAAAAGATCAAGCTAGCAGCTTTTCTTCTTTTTTGTGTGTTTACAGTTTTGGCCCTGAAACAGCTGTTCTTTTTTGCCGCTATTGCACGGGAATTCCTCAGCCAGTCAGTCTACATTCCTGATACCAAATAAGGTAGTGTCGGTAAGACAACAGAAGAAACAGACATCTCGGCGCACAGATGTTTGGGAACTAGAGGGGGAACCCCGGCGGGAAAAATCCCCGACCCGGCCCCCGGCCTAGCGCCCTTGCTTGCTCGATGCATGACAATGCAACTTCATTTGCATCAAACGCTAGCGGAAATTGGGTCCTCGCTTCTAAACACGACAACGCAAATAAACAACGTTTTTTTCGTGGGCGAACCAAAACGCGTAATAACGTAATTTTCTTCGGGCGACCGAGCGCCGACATACATGATTCAAAGGGTGCAATTTTGTCTGGAACGAACTACAAATAGAAATTTGATTGCAGTGATTTGGAGTTGTCTGCCAGCCACGAGGCCCCATCTCCTCTGACCTGCATAATTGTATACATGATCGCCTGACGTCACCGAGATCACCAGACAAAGGAAAATCGAGCACCATCCAATCTTCAATGACGCAGGTCAAAACACGCCTCTATTACACTACATTTGGCACAAATAGACTTCCTCTAGATGTTGTTTTGGTACGAATGTGTCCAAGTTTCGACAGTAAGGTGATTTTGTAGCTACTGTGGCTGAGGAAAATTGTATCAAAGCCAGTGGAATGGCTACGACAAACATCTGCCTTTGTTTCGTAACAGCGCTCAGGGCGGTAGATATGAAGGAAGTGGTACAAAAACAGTACTATTTACAGTCATTTCAGGAAAGTTCGTGAGTCTAGAATGCAACAATCGGTCTGGCTAGTGTCCCGATAGACGTGACTACTTCCTGCATACACTGCTGCAGTCCTTGTTTGGATGAGTTTGGTCCCGATCTCGGCACAGCTTGCTGCGGTGTTGGCTCGGATTCTAGTTCAATCGAGCTGTGCACAAGTCCTTTAAATCCTGAGTTGAAGATATTCACGAGACTGGAGACGGGCGAGTCCGTACACATGTCCTCTGTTGTTTCCCACGAGTCGGTTGAATCTGAGTCCGTTTCCTGTTTCTCGATTCTGCGTTTCTTGGGGGAAATTGAGTCACAGGCGGCTTCGGTTTCGGATTGCTTCCGCTTGCGACAACAGGAGCATGGCGCGGCCGAGGATCGCTTTTCGTCGCACGAGGCCGTGGGAAGAACGTTCGTGCACCTTTCCCCGAGCACAGCGGGCTGCAAGGAGGTCGCCACGTTCTGTTGTTGTTCGGTGGAAAGATTCTCCTTGTCCACAGAGTCGGCCAGGGTTACACTGTCGAGGCGCGAGTCGACGTTTCCGCTCGCTGATGTAAGCGGCGGTTGGGCGAGGTCAACAACCGGCGTGAGTGTACAAAGGTCTTTCTCCTCGCCCTCCCCACTCGGCAACGCTGACTCACACTCCGTACTCTCGGCGGCGACTGGCACGGTTTCCTCCGCCGTTTCGGGACCACAATCCACGGTCTCGTCTTCTTCCACGTCGCTCTCGACTGCTGTAGTTTCGGCGCGGTAGTACTCGGGAACCATTCCGGTCAGTAGCGCAGTCCGTGCCGTGTACAGTACGTGAGACACCAGGAGGTTCTTATGCAAGTCGATCCCGCCACGTTGCGACCGGGAGGCCTGAAGCTTGCCGATGGACAGGGCGATCAGTCTCTGGGCGTCGACGGAAGCCATCTTGTCCTTTACAATATAAATATGGGGTACAGAAACTGCAACAAAATGGATCAAAACACCGAGTTTCTGGCTTGTAGTGGTGCTTGAATGTGAATCACACCCTGTCTGTAACGTGGCGTGATCTACAAATGACCGTTGCGTGTAAAAATCCTGTGTTATTCAAATCCAGACTGACGTAATGGCTATTTCAATAGACCAATCAGAAGCCGAGAACACGGTCGCCTGGCGGCATGATTGACGGCTGAGAGAATGCAGACTGTACTACTATTTTACAGGGGGTGTTTGTAGTCGAGCTAAGTCATACCGTATCATAATAACGATATAGATTGATACTTTTAGGTAAAATATCTTACATATATCTTTAAATTTTACTTTAATGAAGAAATGATATGTATATTGCATCAAATGTTCGATAAAACTATACTCTTTGATAAATTTTTTCAGGACATCCCTATCGGAATAGTCCATAATAAGGAACTGACCAATGAGAGGCCGTCCTGAGTAATTGGGCTGGAATTCCCTGAATTCCCCTGGGGTGAAACCACCTAGGGGCTGGTTATGACGTGTCTCCGCTAAACAAAGGGAAACACACTGGTGTAGTCAAGGCGCCATTCAAACTACGTCAAGATAAACACCACGCCTCGTGACCATTGGTCACAGTCCGCGGAAAATCCCCCCAAATATGGGCACAGCCACCCCTCGCGCTCGTCATGTGACGGGGGCAAAGGGCGCGAAAGAAGCTATCTCATGCCTCGAGGCGCGAAAAAAAGAGCGCGAAAAGTTCTAATCAATCCAGGTATTAAAATGTAAACATGCAGACGACAAGGAAGAAGGAAGTTTTTTTGCGCGGGAAATGTATGAAAAAAAGAACTAAAGTCCTGGAATAAAAGTAACGTTACAAAACTGAATACATTGTTACGAAGAAAGCAAGGATTCAGGAACCAGCAACACAAAAGTACTTGTAGGTAAATTTCTAGTGTGTGCGTGTGTGTGGTAAGTTGGCTATATGGACTGTTTCTAGTGATAACGGTTAAACCTCCAATCCAAACTAATCAACTGTTTGGCTGTGATGTTGAAGAGTTTATTCGACCTTGACACTGGCCATCGCTTGGCCTCAGACAACCTTGCAGCTACACAGGAGACCCTGGCTCTGAGCCGCATTGAGCCAGCTGGGCCCGGAAACCTTGGCTTGTTGCCCAACTCTTGCTCTACGTACTATAACTATGAACCGGAGCCACGCAGTTATACAAATGTACGGTAAAATCGATCGCACAGTGCTTCTTGTTAGGGCTTCGGGGTTACGAAGGTTGTACTTAGTGCGTACAAAATGTATGTTACGTGGGCTGGTTGGCAAAGCTTGCATCATTACTGCTCCTGGCAGAGTAAAGTACACCGTACCGAACACGTGGTGAACTTGTGCCGATCACAAGGTCGGCTGAGGTGAGGGTGAGAGGTGGATATTTCGTCAGCCTACTGTATACAGTGCTCGTACCGCCCCGAGCCAGGGTAAAGCAAAGTTCACGTGTATTCGATTACGTTCAAGTTCGGAGAAAACGTGAGCTAGTATGTGTGATCATCAGGGCGGTACTACTTTAAATTTTGGATAGGGATTATACATGTGATTATATGTTTCAATGCCTCACTTCTATAAAAGAGGGGGAATATGATGCATGGTGACTGTATAACAACAATGCACACACCGGTATTTTTGTTCACCCCAAAAGAATGTAACATAATGTACAAGATACGACTATAGTACGTGTCCACGTCATTGATAAACTGTCCAGGCGTTACCTTCTCTTTTTCTCTCTTACATTTTTTTCTGTCTATCGATCTATTATTTCCTGTTCTATTTATTTCAGACAACAGAGCTATATAGATAGCCACAGAGCTATATCGATAATGTCAGTCATGCGAACAAGTTATGATTTCCTCGTATTTGGGAAGGTGCGTGCCGCTGTGGTGAGATCATCGAAGGAAATCACTAGTATAAAAGGCTTCGTCAAAATATGGTCAGATTGTCACAAGTCTATGTAAATGCCTTACAAGGTGTCAGGTTTTAAATTTGTAGCGTTATGTTAATAAGGAGAAAGTGATGATTATTCTCCGCCCACCAGCTGAATTCTCCTCCCCCACACTTCGCCTGGCACGCGCCAAGCACGAGCTGAATTTCCGCCTTTTCTCGTCGATCCACGTCACTGATTCTTACTCATTTTTCTTTGAAGTCTCATAGTTAGAATTCCCACAGGTCGTGTAGAGATTAGGTATCCGCCCCTTGCTGGGAATGAAGTCAGGCGACATTTTGTGGTTTGTTGCGGTTCCCACACGGGGCGTAGCCTGGGTGGAGTGTTGTCCTGTTTCCGTTACAGAACTATTTTTCAGAAGTTTACTCATCCGGTAGATTGCCACACCTAGATAGTAGCAATAACTTCTGCAAACATTGATCAATGATAATCTCTTTCTCTCTCTTTCTATCATACTAGGTCTATTTCTCGTTTCTTGATTAATTTTCAAAATGATCTGACACAGTGTTTTGTTCGTCTTTAGGTGACCACAAGACACAAAATCCCCTGTAAAAAAGCAAATACTTCAAAAATTGGTGTCTGTGAAACACATATAAATATTTTGCTGTTTAGAAAATGTTACCATGTAACTGCGATAAAACATTAATATAATATCAAGACCAAAGGTTGCACACATAATAGAACAATTTCACATCACTCGCGCGTGACTCGAACCGATTTCAATCACCGGCATTCACTTAGTATTGTTTTACACAGGCATCCTGTTTGTATGTGTGGAAATCTGGTGAATCAGTAGACAAACATGCGTGCAATGAAACTTGTAGCGCATTCCTCGGATTCATAGCAGACCGGAAGGTAAAACCATGTTTGTCGTAAATTGCGCGTTCGAACAGCGCCGCTCAGCGGGCACATAGTAGCCTACACCTTTTTTGTCCGGACAAAACAGCCAGATATTACTAGTAGTACTTGTGTCACTGAAAAATAAATGGCGATTATTCTGTCACGTTGATGTAATGTAAATCTTAAAGGCAATAATTTGCTTTCAATCTGAATCTGCACGCTTGAACAGGAACGTTAACCGACGACCTCAACTAACGTAATGCATATACCTGTTAATGCTGCCTGTGATTGGCATACTAGTACTATGCAGTGGCGCCTTCTAGCGATATGTATCAAAACTGCAGAAATATGGATCAAAATGGCGGAAAGGGAAGTTAGGATGTTTGTATTCTACTTATGTTTTGGCTTTCTGACGACCATTTCGTCCTCCCCTATCTTACGCAGCAATGTCAAACCGGTAAGTATGAATGTGAGAATACATTAATCCTATGATTTCCAACAAGATTAGTATTTTAGTGCCTGAAGGTCCTCTAAATGCCCTCGATACAACAGTATATCGATCCAGGCATAACAAATGTACCTTGGACATACAAAACAATAACCTCGTGATCAGTATCAAAACTACTGCGAATATGTAGTCAAAATGTTTGAGTTCTTGTCAGTTATTTGATATCAACGAAATAAACCAACAATTTGCAGTAACGTGTCTATATTTACTGACATTGTGAATGTGAAATATAAAATGAAATGATATAAATTATTGTTCTGCATGAAAATTTTGCTTCCCCCTCCCCCACCTTTCTGTAGGTGTCCCCTGTAGCAGTAGAGGAACAACTGATATGGTTGAGTGGAGGGGGTGAGGGGGAGGTGGACATCTACCGGACCCCCCTGCTGACTGCCACCCCCCGGGGCAGCCTGTTGGCCCTGTGTGGAGCCAGGAAGTACAGCTCAGGGGACGCAGGGCCCAAGTTTTTAGCCATCAGGAGGTCAACAGATCAAGGTGATGAAGTTATATATCAAGATTCAAATGTCCTTGGTGGGGGCCTGCATGCCATTTTCCGTAATCGGCCGTTTTAATTCAATGTAGAGCGTAGACGGACCCCTGTAATTTACCGTAGAGCATTATTGGCGCAATTTGTGTAGAGCATATTCGCTGTTTTAATTCCACTTAATGTGTTGTAGCCACTTGGAATTTATCGTAAAGCGTAATCGAGGTTTCCGAATTCAGCGTAGAGCGTTGTTGGAGACCCCCCCATGCAGGCCCCCCTTTGTAAATTTGGATGCTACTAGGTTATTGTGGTTGGGGTGGGTTTTCTTCGGGGCTGTAGGAGAAAACTAAAGAACCCAGCACACTTATCAAGAAGAGCAGGGGTGACCCAGTGTGATTGGCCAAATTCTTGTGGCTCATGATACTTGTACATGATACTTGATACATGCAACCAAAAGACCAATGACCAAAGTTTAGATGTCATGGACTTCAAACACATTCTCTGTTTGAAGATTATCCTTGATTTGACGAGTTCCAACTGACTCTGCTTTGCATGAATGTTTTTCCTTGCCTAGGTCAGACGTGGTCTCCAACAGCTTTCGTGACGGACGATCGCTCACCAGACGGCTTCAACCCCGGCTCCATCTTTGTTGACGAGATCACGTCCACCATATTTGTTCTGTATGTGCACTGTGCCCACCACTACAAGTAAGAACTCTGACATGTGATCTTTAATTGTGATAAAAGAAACCACCACATTTTGTAGATGTTTTAGACAGTGTAATGATCTGTTCACAGCTATGTGCATTGAATGGCCAAGTGGTTAGATCTAGAGGTCTTGGGTTCGAATCTTGTCACTCCTGGCATGCAAGACGTTATATCCAACTCCAAGGGAAGGACACTTGACCACTTTACACGACTTTCCTCACTCTGTCAAGGTAAGTGTAAAACGAGAACCTGACTTCAGTTGGGGAGGTAAAAGGCAGTGGAAAAAGAGGGTTGGGCTCCGTCTTCCAATACCTTGCGCATTGGATTAACAACCCACTGCCTCAACCTTTTTATAGCTATATGCATGTGGAAGGGTGGTTTCCAACAGTCACACATTTCATATACCAGTAACATTATACATGTACTAGTAACTTGGGTCCTCACACTATGACGTGATTATCCTATGTCTTGTTTCCTGAAGTTTTAAAATCCTGCAATGTTTGTTGCTGTGCTGTTTGTGTGCAGGTGCAATGTGTCCACCCTGTTCCTGATCAACAGTACTGACGATGGCCTGACCTGGAGTCACCCGAGAAACATCTCAGAACAGGTCGGAACCATGACCTTCGACCCCGGGCCTGGGTATGGCGTCCAGGTAGTGTCATTACTTCTGTCCACCTAGTTAAGTTACTGTCTGTGTCTATGTGTATGATTCTGTAATCATTTGTTTGCATGCATGGTTGAGCAAAACATACCGATTCGAAGTAAGCACAGTGTGTATTCGTGTATTCAATTCCCTTCTGTCATTGCTATAAAAATTACAAATGGTTTAAAACTATCTTTTAAACAATGATCCAAAAATACTGGTACCACTGTCTTTTTTGAATGTGTACAGTTGGAAGTCTCTCCCTCTATCTACCTGTATGTGTCATTGTTGCATTGAAAATTTGCAGTGATTTTATACAAATCTCTGCTTGTTGCCTTCCGCAGAAAAAGCTCCCCCCGCACCAGGGTCGGCTGATCGTGTGCGGCCATGGTGACCTGATACTGAGTGGTGTGTTCTGTCTCCTTAGCGATGACCATGGCAACAGGTGAGGCATGCACAGGTCACAGAGTTCTATAAAAATCAGAATTGTCCTTTTGACTCTCAACATGTTTTTATTTTAGTTTCATTTAAAGTTGCTTTATTGATACTATGATGAAACAAAAGATAAGGTGTGGCAAGAAAGAATGTAGGATGATTGCAATTATAATTTTGTTAACCTCCAGTTGGCGCTATGGAGGCACAAGAATGGGCATCCCTTACAACCAGAGAAAGAAGGCAGGAGACTTTGACCCTGATGAAAATCAGGTATGACTTGAAGGAAATTAGAAATTTCATGACACATGAAAAACAATGATATATTATTGATTATACCCATGATACAGATACGTGTGTTCTTTGTCGTATTAATGAATACTGTTACTAGTGTCTTTGAATACTGTTATGTTATCATCACGGCATACTGTTTAACTAGATACAGGGTACAGAGTTTTTGTTGATCTGTCTGTCTTTACGTATGGTTCAGCCACTAGAACTCCCGGACGGTTCGATTTTGTTGAACGCGAGAAATGAGTACGCGTACCACTGCCACTGCCGCGTCATCATGCGCAGCTACGACGGCGCCGAGTCCTTCCCGCTGGAACACCTGTACTTCGATGAGACGCTGATCGAGCCGCGAGCCATGGCCAGTCAGTGGTACAGTAACGGGGTACTGTTCTTCTCCAACCCAGCACACCAGACTGAGAGTACGTAACAGCCCTTTCTGTTTAAGAAGCTGTGACTGCTGAGTGACCAAATATTGTACAGATCACTCAACAAAATACACGTATTTCTGTATATGTCTAATGTTGTCTTTTATATCCTGCATCATATTCCTTAGAAAATTAGAAATCCAAGGATCACGCAATTAAGGATCGTCCAATTTTAGTTGCTCGACTGTTGGTCAGTGATCACTGTCTAGTGGAAAGGAGGCTTTAGGTAACTTTGTTATGAAGGCAGCATATGTACCTGAAGTCAAGAGTTTTTTTATCCTCATCTATGCCTATTATACGTAGCCTCCACCAGGCCTTTCTACGGGAATACAGATCGTAGAATTCGGCAAAAAGGAGTAAAATTGGCCCGGTTAGTCCGGCCACGGAAGGTTGTTCCTTTCCCTCCGAAGCGCGGCCAGTCGAACCCCGAGGCTTAACTCCCCTACTCAACTTAGTCTGGTTGAGACTATATCCATAAAAATATGTTCAAGATGACAGGATGATTTTCCCTTCTGTCCCCCCCCCCTCCAGGAGTGAACCTGACCCTGAGGTGGAGTTATGATAACGGCACAACGTGGGCATCCAGTCTGCTGGTCTGGCCGGGGCCGAGCGGCTACTCTGCCATGACCATGCTGAGCCAGGACAGCGGTCATCTGTACATCCTGTACGAGAAGGGAGCCAAGAGCTCCATCGAGTCTCTGTCATTGGTCAAGGTGGCGCTGTACGGGGGCTAGGGGTGTGATGTCATTGTCACCCCCCACCCCCAAACCTTAATGTTTTTGCCTAATGGTAGCCTGGTATCCAGTCTATCATGGTTGGGGCAGGCTGTCTTCAGGGCTCCGAAGGAGTTTTGCACGCAAGGAGTTGATTAGCCCCTAATTTAACTTCCGTCGGGCAAAACCTACCGGGGAACCTAGCTGAGTCAGGTGGGGAAGAGCTCCAAAGAAAACCCAATCCCCAACGACGATAGACCAGACACCATGAGTCTAGCCTTATGGCTGTTACATTTTTGTTGGCAGTACTGACAGGAATGCTGTTGTGTGACCTCAGGTCAATGGATCACCTTCTTGTTGTGTCCCAGTCAAGCCTCACACATGCTGGCAGATGTGATGGCAATCAATTTTACTTAGATCTATTACCTATACCTTCACAATTTTACCTGTTACCTGCAATATTGCAAGTTGTCAGAAATCTTACCTGCAATTCAGGAAATATTTTGCAACTATCCAATACACTATCCATCCCCTAGCCTTTTTAGACATATGGAGCCTTGAATTATGCTCTTGCATAGCTCTGTAATTAGCTACCAACAATCTAGGCATTTGTATCCTGCTGAATAGCTAGATTTAACATTGTTCATGATGCCTGGCCTGACTTTCTTCTAGACTGCAAAACTGTATTTCTGCCTGCAATCTGACAATGTACCGTAAGGCCACTTCTTGCCGATGTTTTCTTGTATCACATGTCACTGTGGCAATACTATCTATACCCAGTAGGTATTTTTCTGATACTGTACTGGTACAGTCATAGTGCAATTCAGCCACTTGGGCCTGTAATGTTGTGATATACATGTATCTGTCACCTCTCAGATTACAAGAATATTGTCTATAAATGTATTTTGTAGTCCACGAGGTGGATACTTGACATTTTATGAAATAGATTTTTTATCTAATCTGATGCTGATATATGAAAAATATTGACAATCATGAGATTATATATATGATATGTAGAATGGAATCCATCCTGACTTTTTGATATACTCTTCTCAAAAATGCCCAGTATACAGTAAGACAGAAGCCAAGTTTTTACTGCAATTTTATTGCAAATAATTCCCTGACAATAAACAGATTTTTTTCACTGTTGATGGACATCTTTTGGGGCTTTGTATTAGTCAGCAATATTAACAATATTTCTCATATCAAGCTTTCCTTGCTCTTATTAAGAGAGTATAAAGGTGATACATGTAGCTAATATTGCAACAAATATATAGCTGTATTAAAGCTAATGTTATGTTCTATTATCTAAAAAAACAAGATGAAAAACCTATTATTAAATACTAATATCATAACCTTTTTTCCTGCAGCCTAACCCCATGAATTTGGTCAAACGGCTACCTGAAGGATAGTTCACTGTAGTTATTGAATCGTAACTATTTGTTTCCCCCCACTACATTTAAACCCTGTCAGCCCTTATTCTAGCATTTGCAATGATCAGGAATTTTCCAAATGGGGTAGTTTGAATACAGGTAAAAACGTGCATACTGAGGTTGACTGCCTTTAGAAAACTAGGAATATGGTACTAGTACCAAAATGTGCAGTCAGGTCTTACTTTTAATACAAAAGTGTTAATGCAACAGTTAGGAAATATTGTCAGCATGATGTGTAAATACCCTGTCTTGAAAATTTCTGCACCCTTGAATGTACTATTCTTGCTCTTCAACAATTTTCTTCAGACTCTTTTACAAGTTTAAGGTCCAAGAAACAAGAATGAGTTGCTTTGGCCTGATGCTTAAGCACAATTAGAAGTGTAAAAGACCAACCAACTTGAAACACTTTGAAAAGTTCCATCGTCTTTTGATATTTCAAAAGTGGTAACATTTTCACACTTATTTATACACAATGTGTACTTATTTGCTGGTGATGTGATTGAATACCTATATATCAGTTGAAAATAAATTTATTTTGATATACATGACTTTATTTACAAACACCGTATTGCAGCCTACCGGAGTGTAAACCTTAACTAACACTCTGTAGAGATGACCCCACAGACTGCAATGGCGACGCCCCGTCTGTGATGTACTGCTTTACCTCCGTTTCTCCGCCAGGTGGCGCTGTGGGGTACTTGGTGTAGTCGTCATACGCTGGAAGCGTTGAAGCGACCGACACTGTCTCTGACACCGAGTCTGTGTTTGTGTTGTTTCCCGTTGTTGTGTTGACGTTGTTTACGCTCTGTGTGGATCTTGTTTGTGTGTTTTCCGGCTCGATGTTGTCGTTGTGCACGATGACGATGTCGGGACAGCTGACCGCCGGGTTTCCATGGAGACCGCTCTGTGACGTAGTCCATATCGTGTCGGGCGGCACGCATGCGTCGTAAGCCGGTGGATGGTCGTCGAACATGGGGTTGGCCTGGCCGAGGTTCGCTAGTTCTAGTCCTGATGAGACAACAAAATAACCCTATACAGTTACAAAATTTGTCTTGCTCACATTCGCAATCAATATATACAACGGTTGCAAAGTGATAGAATAGCTATCAAACACGATATTTTCTTTAGTCTGAACTCAAGGAATTTTAGGCAAAAGTACACTATGGTAAGGCTTTAAGTTACAGTACTGTAGCGATGCACTTCGTAAGCTATGCCCATCTATTGAAGCAACTGCTACGTTCTACCAAGGAGGTTTAGAATCAGGTTTCACAATGCAAGTCACAGTTGCATTTCAGAGGGCACAATTTGCATCCATCGATATTGTACCCCGTGTATTTTGGATAAACATATAGTTTTGTTCAGACTCGTAGTAACATAATCAACGTCGTAAACTTTAGATTTTTGCCCCAACCTACCCGGGTCTTCAGCCTGCTGCCTCCTGCGCGGTGAGTGAGATTTGGGCGGGCCCATACAACACCGCGTCGCCGCGCACACGATGGAGAATATCAGCACGAAGAAGATCGCCACTCCGATCTCCAGCCACACGTCCCAGCGCAACTCGGGAACTGGGGAAGGGGGAAAAAGTGGCATTACTGATAGGAAATTCAAACTCTACTACTGGATAAATAACGGATCCGAGATAATTTCCGGATGTTTCGAGTGGCATCCACCACTCTTCTTCAGCGTCACAAATGAACAGAACTTTCATTCTGAAGAAGAGTGGTTCGACTCGAAACGTCTGGAAATTATCTCCGTAAGTTATCCAGTGGTAGAGTTTACATTTCCTGTGAGTAATGTTTACCTGGATGTCTATAAACCTTCATCAACGTGAAAGTGGCATTATTATACAGTTGCTACACGTTTATTGTCCGCCGTTTTCTTCTTTTTTTTTGCCAAGCCTCCCTCCTTCATGCGATAATTGTACTGTAGTAATTATAATAAAATACTACTAGTAATCTCCAAGCAGATCTTTCGGTAGCTATTATAGTATCCAACAGGCAAGACAGTATCCAAAAGGCAAGATATTATCCAATAGGCAAGACAGTATCCAGATCCAGTATAGTAGAAGAAGCTGAATTGAATTGGAGAGTACTCTGCTTGAATTGGACAGTACAAAAATGTACTATGATAAAGACCAACTGTTTCCCATACTTACGGCAGTCTTCTTCGTCACTCTTGTCCTCACAATGGTACAGACCGTCACACTCCTGGTCAGACCTCACACACCCGTACGTCGCGCACTTCTTCTGCGGGCTCGGGCATACGCAGTGCAGCTCGTCGCTGGCGTCCCCACAGTCGTCTCTATTGTCACACTCCAGATCCCACCGGATACACCGGCCGTTCGCGCATGCGTACTGCCAACCTTTGCACGCCGAGCATGCGCGCTCGTCGCTCGAGTCGCCACAGTTGTCTTCTCCGTTGCAGGATAAGTCGTTAGAAATGCACAACCCGGTGTCGCATCGGAATTGGTCCAATCCACAGGTGCAGTTTAATTCGTCCGTTCGATCCTCGCAGTCTGGTATTCCGTCGCACTCTCTCTCGTACGGTATACACCGCCGGGTTAGGTCACACGTGAAACAGTCGCGGGTTGTCGTGCTTGGTGGTACGACAGTCGTGGTGTTGTTGTACGCGGCGCACAACTCACACAGACACCACAGGAAGAAGATAAACGGACCAAGACGTCTTCCCTGAGCCCGGAAATTCTCCATGTCGAAAGTTTTCCTGAAATTGAAAAATATGGCAATGACGTGATATAGTAAATAGCTTATATATAATTTATGCATTTATTTCATCGTAAAACGGCTGGGTAGCCCATTCAGCTAGTAGAAGCTGCTTTCCAAGGGGGCAAGGACACAGGACATTTACACAACACAATACTTGATTACATTAAGTCATTCAACAAAAGGTACACAACAGTCAATAAAATCCTATGCGTCAAAACAAAAACATGACCATAAATCAATGTCGACATAACGTTCCAATGTCAGAACAATAAAGTCAGTAAATTGGACTCTAGTCAGAGGTCACTAAGTTTCATAAGGCATGCGTCGGAATCTGCTTTGAACTTGTAAAAGCTTGATGTGTACAATACCATGAAAAAAATGTTTAGCAGAAATGATACGTGATTCAATTTTTTTTCTTTTAATGTTATCAGTAATATTTTTCCAAAACAATTCTCACTTGTAAAATGTACCTTTACAGCTAGTTCAACGTGCTGTACCGTGCACGTGTTGTCAGGTGCCTATTCAGGTACAAAGGTGAACAGACTAAGATGTTGCTAAGTCATATTGGTTTACTTAGTACTGATCGAACCGTTAGTGGACAGAAGGTCAACTTGCCCTGCCTATTGGAAAACAAAGGTCTCCTATTGTAGCCTGGTTACCAAACCTCCGCTCCTATATATAGGAGATTAGGACGAAGAGACGCGGTATGCCCAGCGAGAATAGGCTTGGCAATCATGCTACTGACACGTTACTAACCAAACCAGGGTTACTAACATGTTACTAATCAAAACTAGTTCAAGGTGCGTCGGTGAAGGTTAGACATCCAGGTAATAAGATACGCCAAAAAGCAGTTACTCAAGCAACTGGATATGATTTTGGATTTAGTTCAAGATGCATTATGCAGATTGTCATCTAAGATCGCTGTACGTTATCATTGGAAATGAATACAAATACAATACTTTCTATACTGACGCTCTTTTATGATTATTTACCTAATGCGTTCCACAAAAAAGAGATGCCTGCGTCTTCATGGCTCATAGCTCTCAAGGCTGTGTTTTAAGTATGTCGACCTTCGAAATGTCTACACATGCCTGAGTTGTTAGAGTTAAAGGTTATTCTTAAGTTAGAAAGCTGACGCCATCTCTACTCCATCTAGCACAGTCGTTTATGTTCACACGTAGGCTTGTGGGTACAATAGGTGATCCAAATAGAGCAAACAACAGAAACAAAAGATTGCGATGCTAAGAATAGGAGTTCAACTTTCTCCGATATTTTACCGAATGGTGGCGACAGCCGCTTGAAATATATTTGTTAAGAACATCTAGATATTTCTCTACGCAAAAGGTTGTATTATATCAAACCAAATTTTCTTATGTATGCACATAATTGATGTTTCCTATCCCTGTACATTTGGATTAGCATACTCTTATAGTTTACTTTTAAATTAGTATGTAGCCCCTGTGCACTATCGTACATGTATATATAAACCCATTACATTGACCAGTGCATGTAAGGTGCAGGTAGACATCAGCAATACCAGCACAGCTCCAATTTTACCTGCACTAACCTGCATATACCCAGTACATTGACCAGTGCATGTTAGGTGCAGGTAGACATCAGAAATACCTGCACAGCTCCAATTTTACCTGCACTAACCTGCATATACCCAGTACATGTACATTGACCAGTGCATGTAAGGTGCAGGTAGACATCAGAAATACCAGCACAGCTCCAATTTTACCTGCACTAACCTGCATGTACCCAGTACATTGACCAGTGCAGGTTAGGTGCAGGTAGACATCAGAAATACCAGCACAGCAGCTCCAATTTTACCTGCACTAAGCTGCATATGCTTTTGATCCCTACGAAGTGTTACATGCCTTTTAGGCAACGAGCCACGAACGGGCGTCCTGCACTGGTATGGTGTACTAATTCACCGTTTACCAAGGCACGGTATCAAATAACCCATCACAAGGACCGGACCTACCTGCAAAAAGAGTTTAAGACGACTTGAATATTTCTTCTACTGAAGACTGCACATAACACCTACCAATCAAGTCCTTGTACCAAATTAGCTCCGTGTCACCAGATCACTATCAGACGTTATCCTAATAAACAACGTGTATTTAATATTTCTTCCACACGAAGTGAACGCTTTGCATCAAAACCGGCTCATGAATTTTTGATGCCGTTGCCATGGCGACGCCAAAAGAGTGGTCCCCGGGGATGATCTAGGGACAGACACGAAAGATGAGAGGATTTTCTGTCAAAATTTGCCGAGATTGGAACACTGGTATGTTGAGATAGGGCATTCTACGAGCTTTATGCCAATCAACTCTGTAGCATTTATATGCCGTAGAGCACAGTGATATCAAATTAAAATGCTGGTTGGAACAGGCCAGAACAGGTAAAAACTGGAGCTTATTACAGAAGAAGCTTAAGTCGGATGACGAGTATTATGTAGGTTTTATGACAGGAAAGACTGTTACTACCAATGTAAATCTAGGGGGAGGGGTAGCTGACAGGAAAAATTGATGAAATTTGAGGAACATTTCAGGAAATTGATATCAGGGATAATTTTTCACACATACTAGCCATATCCAGACATTGCTTCACACAATCTGATATTGCGACATTTGTGTTTTTTGATAACGTGGGGCTTGTGCAGTTCGTCCTTGGTATATTTTTTCCTATCATATATAATATCAGATCTCAACAAATCCCTTACCCTTACCTTTACAGTGATCACTGCGATAATAACGTTAACTGTACGAAACCAGAATTAAGCTATCGTATGTACCATTTTCTGAAAAAAAAAAACATCCGGCTCAATACGACGAAATACCCTGTGGCAAAATTCAACGACGTATCTACCTATCTTTAACCCATTCTTTTTATACAGATGACCACTATAAGACCTGAAATCCAACCCTACACCTTACGTGTTACTACAACTCCTTACGGTATAACCTTACCTTTCTGTCACTGCGCTCTGTACGGTCTAATGTACCTGAAGCATTACCGCCAGCTGGTGCAATCGCCCCCAAGGCTACAGCTAGACTTGTTTTCGACGGAACCGTTCGGGAGAGTTCAAAAGTTCACCGCGTCATAGGCGGAACCCCAGCATTCCAGAGCGCGAACAGTTTCACCTTTGTCACTCGGATATTATCCAGAAACGTAGGAAAAACGCAAAAACTCGATTTTAGACTTTGGGGATTGAAAATTCCGAAAAAAATACCAGTTTACCAATCAAGCGCAACGTCAGTAGCAGTGGGTCTAGACGAGACTTCGATCTTTCTCAGATCGATCAAACGCATTTAAAGAGAAGCCCTAACGTGAAAACCTGTCGTCAGGAACTGACCGTTTTACAGAGCATTAGGTAATCGTAGGTCCACCACACGTCACCCTTTTTACACCCCCGTGTAGTAAAATGTCTCCATGGAGGAGCGCTTTTAGCGGAGTTAATCATTAGCCGTGCCTTTCGCCGCCTGCTACTACTGCCATAAATACGTCACCCAGTGTACATAGGAACACGCGAGGACCGTTACGTATTTGCTATTGTTGGGAGCCAAAATTGTTGATCCACTCTCTGTGTACTTTGGCAGTTGTATCAATCTTTGTCTGATGGAGCGCATCGAAACGTAACTGACTCTGGCGGTTTGTCAGAACGCCAATAAAAAAAATAAAGATGATACCTTCATGTATGCTTGTGTCAATATTTCTCACATTTTCTTTTAACATTAATAGCAAAGATTTTACAGTGATGATAACTATTGACTGGATCGCGCCAATCGCATTTGGATTTTATACGATACATTAAAGATAGTGAGCCTAATTTAGCCAGCTAAAACAATGTTGGTATTGTTCCAGGGAATGCAATATGCTGAGACTGTAAATCATAGAAATGGCCTTTACGCTTCATAACCGTGATGGTTTCACGTTACATATGGTTCAATAAAGGAGCTTCCATTTTCTTAGATGGCGGAGAGAAAAAGATACATGTAGTACGTCTTGCGTCGAAGATTGTGAAAGTAGCATCCAGTTATGCTACTTCAATATAGGTAGGAAGGTCGACAAATTATAGTGGGTTACCCGTGAAAATTTATGAATTTGTGACCGTTTATGAATGTGTGAATCCAGTATAGCTCATGGTACTTTTCCTGTAGTGTGTATAGTGTTCAATGGTTGGACGTAATGTGGTTGACTTTATATTGGTAGGCCCGTTTCAGTCCGCCATTTTTACAGATCAAATCTACATGTTCAAACCAAAAACTAGATTAAAGAAATAATTATGTAGCTATTTGTAAGTTTTGTATCGTTACGCTGAGCCTACTCTTTCTGGCGATGAAAATATGAGGTTTTCATTGGCAAACATTTGTATCTTCAATTATTCATCCACTACATGCCTATCTCCTCATTTTGGTGCAGCTTGATTGACTGCTGTAACGTTACAGTTATGTGAGAACGACATAAATCTACAAAATCAGGTCAATCTATTTTGGCGCATTTCTTCTAAACAAAGCCACCAAAATCATCCAACGTATTATACTATATATTTGTATAAAAACTGACCAAGACAATGGAAAATAAATTAATACATTTCTACGAATCAGGTATAAACGTAGCCAACAATAAGATGTGAACGTCCTGATATGGCGCTGTTAAAATCGATGCTGGCCTTTTGTGGTTGTAGAAGGGGAGTATTGATCGTAGTTTTACTAGCGTCAGTTGAGCCGGGCTGCCGTCTCACTCATTTATATAACTGCCATCATAACGTCGCGTTTGACCTTCATAATTCACAAGACACAAACCAGGCGCCGAGGCGCGTATTCCTTATTAGGAACCGCCGGAGCACGTGATCTCCGCGTGATCAATCGTAGCTAGGCAACGCCGCCTCTGTTCTATGAGGCTCTAATTGTCAAAACTACCGGACGACGTCATTGAAGGGTAAAAGGTTGATGGTCTGTACGTCAGTGACTTCATGATCTCTCAGGCTACCTCATCAAATTTTCATTTTCTCTGAATGAGCAAAACGGACAGCATCCTGGCAAGGATGCGCTGTGATCATCATTGAAAAAAAAAAACAGAAACGATTAACGTTACAGTTCTTACGTAACAGTCATTGAGAACAAATGGGCTGAAAAAGCATTACGCTGTTACGTAATCGATCAAAGGCTAGACTGTGGACACAACTCAATAGTTATTTTGCCAATACAGTGTATCAGGAATACTGTATATGGGAACGTCAAAACTGAATGGACACTACGATTTGGTAATCCTTTTGTGTGCCAAAATCCCAAATATACCCATATCTACTATCAGTAAAATATTACTACAACCGGTATCTTGGTAATGGTTTGTAATATATAACCCCTGTGGTAGATTTGAACATCATACCCGTCCCCCTCTCAAAGATGTACAGTGATACGTGCATTACCTGTGCCAGGATCCTGCTAAGGGACGGCGCGGATGTAATCCTCCCGGATTAGCTATACGGTCAGGCTAAGTCGTGTCCCCTGGCAGTACAGGGCTGTGACCGTCCCGGGTTGTTATACAGCTATCCGCACGACTTTCCTCGTCTACAGATTAAGGTCGATGAATTGTTCTTTGCTGCCGTGTTACTGTTAGCTTGCCTCCTGGCGACGACTGAGAGTAATGCAGCAGAAACGGACGTTGCCTGGTACCGACCAAGACTTTTGTTACAAGCCCAGTGGCTTTAACATTTACGTAACACTCTAAAAAGAACATTTTTTATAAGAATGTCCATTTCGTGGTCTGGATTGATCTCTCCTGCACTGCAGTTTCTGTCCGAGTATAAGTGCTCAAAATGCCCCAGTGTTCTTTGTCTCTGTGTGGTCCTGTTGCCCATCTTTGCCGCTATAACTCTACATTGCCATGCCAACAAAAAAGGGGGGTATACAATCGTCTTTCTACACTGTGATTTAAAATTATGACAACATACACACTGAAAGTACCCAGATATTACGTTTTTATTATAAGTTATATGTAAATCGTTGACACAGTAAACCGTTGTTGATATAATACCCACTGACGATCACGATACACATTTTCCGATAGATATCGAGTTACTCACTTGTCAAACATTCCTGCCATCATTTACTGAGGCATGACAGCACTTTGGTCCTAATAACCGTTACCTAGATTTTCTTTCATAAGAAACACAGTTATACTGAGGTCCCTGTTGTTGGTATTATACTAGCTTATGCTATTTATTTACAAGCTCGTAGCGGAATACATTGTACCGAGGTAAGGGAAACAAACTACACAGTAGAATAAAAGTTTTAAAAGTAACGTTATACCATTCCATACAAAACTGTTGTTGTATGTACTATATGTATATCCTTAGTCAAGTCTGGAGTATATAGATACACATATGCCTACTGTATACGTATAAGCCAAAAAGGCATTAGTCATACATATAGGAGACATATCAAACCCCGTTATACACCAATACAGACGTAGCTGCGTGACAAATACGTGAGAGAACGTGTTGATATGATATCTTCAGGTTTTATCCCTTTTTATCGATTTATGCTGTTGTCTTCTCTCCGTCTAGCTCGTTCTTATACTTAGCATCGCTGCCATCCCTGTTGTTGGAATCATACTTAGCATCGCTGCCATCCCTGTTGTTGGAATCATACTTAGCATCGCTGCCATCCCTGTTGTTGGAATCATACTTAGCATCGCTGCCATCCCTGTTGTTGGAATCATACTTAGCATCGCTGCCATCCCTGTTGTTGGAATCGCTCTCCCTAGGCCTGTCTTGTCCCTCTCCGTAGATCTCGTCCTTGTATGTAGGATACTTGTAGCCCTTGTAGTTGGGATCTCCGTTTTTCCAGTACTTCTCCATGTCCTCGGCTCTGTCACGCAGCTGCCTCTGTAGGTTTGTGTCGTTGTTCCTGTCCTTGTCCTTCAGTCCGAGGGTGTCCATCAGGTCCTGATGTACAGAGAAAAAAGTTAAGTATGGCTAAGTCCAGAATGAAGCATGGGATCCATACACCACAAACGGCAACGTTAAGCCCAAAATAGTACAATACCAAAGGGCCAAATTCTGTATGGTCAACTACAATGTCGACATAACTGCTAGTGTCAGCAGCATGAAGAAAGAATGCCAATGGACGCAAAAGCTACAGGTAAAGTCCATAAAGAAGTCCCCAAGAAAGATATCCAGGCTGTGCATGGTGTACACTGTACAATGTATCAATATGTAACTGCAGACAGTGCATGGTGCACAAAATGACAAACTTGTGGACATACCGGCCTGTCAGGACCGCCCTGAGGCAGCACAAGGAAGAAGGAGAAAACGTTATGACTACAAGTCTCAGTCTTACACATGGCAACCCAACCACCAACCCAAGCTCGAGCTATTGATGATAATATAAGTGGTCATCATCAGATACGGTTGAGTCAGCCGTCACGGCTTGCTTGCGAAACTTGTGTGGCAAAGGACGATTATAACGCTCAGTCATGCATTTCATATCAATATTCAGCTTACATCCAGAAGATTGTTCGCAGAGAAATTGTTGATGGTAGATGGACACAAATAAAGACGAAGGAACACGTGTACTTACATCTGTTCGTCCCTGGGCGTCAAAGCCGTCGTACTTGGGCTCTATGGGCCAGTTCAGTACAGCGTCCAGGAAGTCACTGATGTTGTTAGTCACGCCCCTGTGTAGACAATCACAATAAACTTATATGTGCTGCAGCTGACGACTGGTTGTCCAACTAGGGTTAAGTTCGCAGTGAGCAAGTGTTGCCGTAAAAGGACACTGATAACTTGAAATCCTTTTATTCATAGCCATATACATTGTTGTTTGGTACTGTGTGATTGTTATATTGTAATATCTGTGTTGTTTTCTAATAGAAATGAAAAATTTGGAGGTACGTGTTGTGTTACCTTTTCAAAAATCACTGATTGAAGAACATTCGAATTCTACTAACTGTGATTTATACGTGACTGATGAACTTCTTCAACGACTATTGTGTCATTTTACAATGTCTATCATTCTCACAGGATGGTTGATTTGTAAGAAGCCTAGTGTAGCACGTACTTAGCAGACATGGCCAGGGCAATCTTGTGCCGTGGTTTGTCCGGCTCCTCGATGAGTTTCCTGGCGTTGTCCAGAAGCGTGGAGGCGGCGATGCAGACCTCCTTCACCAGCGCCAGGACGTACGCCATCTGCAGTTTGTCCTGTTTAAAACAAAACACATTTTAAGTTGTCAACAGCTGTTGGAAAATTTCACTTTTTGTTGAATGAGCATAACTACAGATGTTATTTGCTCTAGCCTCTAGTACGTGATCATGTCCCAGGTACGTCTGACAGCTACGTCTAGCAATGATTGCCTAGATCCTCAAATGCCAAAATTGACCTCCACCAGACTTACCTGGTATTTATGGTCATTGGTAAAAATTGAATACCACTTTTCACACAGTATACAGTAGAGGGGATTCATTCCTTAATTAAGCTAACCGACATCTCGCACACGCAGTCGTCCCTCAGTAAGACTCGTATGACATACTGAATCATGAAAAGTTCTAAAACAGGAACTATGCGGCTCCATATGTCTTCCTGATGGACGACTGCGTGTGCGAGATGACGGTTAGCTTGAGGAATAAATCCCCTCTACAATATACCACATTTCATACAGTGTTACTGACCTCCGCCATCTCACAGAACTCAATGGCGACCTCCAGCATCTCCGCCAGCTCCTCGCTGTACCCCACCACCAGCTCCGCCACCTCGTTGTTGACTCCCTCGGCCCGGGCGGACACCTCCTTCGCCAGGGACTTGATCTCTATGGCGGCCACCTCAACCTTCTCCGCTGACTCGGCAAGCGACTCGGCTCTGCTGAAGTGCTGAGCGAAGTGGGGAGGAGGAAGGAAGGCGATTTATAATTTTAGAGAATGCACCTGATGAACATCAAATGTATGCCCTATTACCCTTGTATGACATACATAAGGATAAATCTTATTAAACGATATCTAGACGTTAGAAATTCCTCCAATGTTTGAAATTCCTCCAATGATTGTAAAAGCTCATTCCCATACTAGCCACTTTTTTGCAATAAGGTTAGCGTTATGGAATTGTAATTATGTACCAGTAGATGCCATACTTTGTACCCTGGACAATTGTGCAACGTTATTGATATGTTGGGAACAAGAAGTATAGCGCTGATTTTGCAGTCTCATGTTCTGTCCTTTTGCAAACCTTTACTCACTAGCAGTACAACATTTTTTTTATTATGCCCATATAACGACCGTAAATTGGAGCGGACTAGTTTCTAAAAGGGTTAGATAGGAGACCACATCGTTACTTCTCGTGTTCCATTCCTTTGAACATACATGGTGGTTCAGAAATAATATGAAGACCTACCTCAGTTGAGATGAGCTTGCTGACGATTTTGCTCGATGCCTTTGCTTCTGCTGACACGATGGTGGTAGACTTGGTTGATGTGGTGGTGATGATGACGACCTTGGTGGCAGACCTGTGGAACTCCCGAGTCTCCTTCACCAGCCGCAGCTTGGTGTTGGTGAGCGGGTCGTCCTCTGGCGGGGCGGGCTCAACCACCCTGCGCTGCCGCGGGTCCAGCTACAGGAAACGGTGTGATGGTGTCAGTTACATGTGTTTGGTGCTTAATCTATGGAAGACCATTTTGGCTTACAACAGGGTGAATCACAGTTGACTTGATACAGTCTTTACAATGAAGGGATAGCAAATACATAAATCATATTCTTACAAATCTACGTAAAATGCAGCAATATTTGCATATACATGATATCATTTCAAAACAAAATAATACCGTGTTTTACTCTTAAATGATTATCAACACAAATAAGGTACATAATTAATGAACAAAATCATACACATAAATGCGTATTAGTGATATGCTAACATCTACGTTAGTAAAATTACACGTCACATATCTATTTGGTATGTTATGTCGTGATTTGACATGATACAGTGTGATGTTCTACCATGGCATTATCTATGCATACAAACAACTGTTGTGATACGACACACAAACATGATGGAAGTGCTGAAAAATTAGTCGGGAATGTCAGACAAATATGACAGACACGGGAAACATAACATCGTGACCTACTGCCAGTTGCTGAAGATCTACGGGAAACAAGTTATCAACATTTTGTTAGTTGGAACGAGCTATGCTAATATGCTAATAGGGACATAACGTGTTCTACAGTCTACACACATTTCTAACTATGACATGTATGACGTTGAATGGTCAAACAGGTGTTAGGAGACAGTGAAGCTGCTGGTAGAAGATGATATGGCGTTAGCAACACTTAGGATACGTAATACACTTCTAAACGGATAGGCTATAACGGGCAAACTGGTGAGCAATTCTTGCAGTTTGGAAATAGATAAGAGCGTATGCTTGCAATCGTCCGAAGCAAGTGGCACGTTTTTGCCTTTTAGCTGATTGATACATATGGAATGAAGCAAGATTCAGGCATTTGCCAAGCTTTGCTGTATTTGCCTTTTCAGCAAAATTGTAGCTCATTGCATTTTCCAAATGCTGCATCCGCACACCAATGTATATAGTTAAAAGCTAGCTGCAAACATCTGAAGAGTTACAAACAAAGATTAGCAGTGAGTTTGCAACAGTGTGTTCGTCTTCACTAACCCCTTGGAGACTTCTGGTGTGATCGCGTTCCTGTGCCATTGCCGTCACGGCAACGTTAGCGCTGGAAGACTGGAAGGAAGGTGGCGTGTTAATTTCCCAGATAGATACATGTATCATGTGTGCGCATAATCTCGACGACGACGATGATAATAAATTGAACTTTATCGAGGTACCATAATGTGACATCGAAGCAATTAGAGATACGTTAGGTTCAAGTATGTATTAGTATATCACAACTATATTGTAGATATTGGCAAAATAGATTTATAGGTTTATGACAGCCGTATAGCTTAAGCTTAAAGCAATAAAAGCTACAGCTACAGCCAAAATGATATGTTGTCCTACAGTGCAACTAGTGCTATATGTGCTGTGAGAAATTATCTTAAGTGGCATCAGTTAATGTATTTGAATAGAAGCAATCGGTGAAGCAGTGACAACCATGGCCCCTTGAGAATGAAACTCGATGATTCTATCTAAGATGTGCCACATGTAAGATGATTCTGTGAAGTAGGAAGCAATCATTTAGCATATTAGGAAGCAAGCATTTAGCACTATGAGGCTGTTTCTACATTGCTCGCATAGCGGCCTTGCAGCAATGTCAGGCCGTATGATTCTGAACTAACCAATCCGTCTGGACCTGATGATGATTCCTCCTCATCATCACCACCAGGCACTGGTGTAGCGTAGATACGGCGTGTCTGAACGTGCTGTAAAATAGTGTTTTGGTGTATACATGATCACACTGTGTTTGTTATAGTTTTGATGACGGTTTTCAACATCCCTCAATCGGCAAAGGGTTTTTACATGGTCGTCTTTACTATACTCTACAGTCTACACACTTATCAAACTACGTACACACCAGGGGATGGCCATTTACATGTAGGGCTATGGGACATGTTGTAGTGTGTAGACTATATTCTACAACGTATAGTAACATATTTGTATATTGTCGTAGGCAGTCTTCCAGAGAGCGAATTCTTCGGGGTCTCTTTTGCCTGTAAGACCTACAAGACTACAATTAGTACTTTACTTATATAATATTGTTACTTATATAATATAGCATCAAGTTTCACATACACAGACACACACACTTGTTACTTAGGATTATGTAGTACTTCTATCAAACATTCCACAAAATGGACATCAAAGAATGGAAATTCTATTAAAGTTTCATTTGTTTGATAAAGACAATGACTTTCATGGAAACTTTTTGCTGCTTCCAAGCTTCTAAGGAGCTTAAGCAAAAAGATGTTGTCCATCAAAAGATGTCATTTTTCACTATACATTAGTCTAATAGCCCGACCATGCTTCATATGTACTTGATACCAGGTTCAGACATAAACAAATCTCAAAACAACCCACCTCTGGCTCTTCCTCCTTGCGGCGCAACATAAGCTCTTCAGACTTCTGTATGGTCAAAATTTTTACATGTCAGTTGTAAAGTCAGAACAGTTCTGCGAACAAAGATCATCTGTAGACTAGATTACAAAAAAAGATGACTAGTAATTGATTTACCCATTAAGTACAAATTTTTGATCTGGTAATACTGAAGTAATGATGACTAGATCTGTGATTACTAGAGATACGGAAAATAACGTAGAAACCTACCGGTTCTTCTTTCACCACGGGCTCTTCCTTCTCGGGCAACATCTCAGGATAGTTCCGGAAGAACTCGTCATAGACAGGGTAGACAACCTCAGGCACGATCTTCTTCTCGTTCACAACCTGAAACAAAGATAGTGGCGTCAGGGATTTGTAAACTATGGCAGTTGTTTATTTACATATTTATTTACTTCAGATTTATTGCATACAAGTAAACGGCCAAGGGAAACAGGATGCTAATACGAATAATGGCTATAACGACTATTAGCAATAAGATAATAAAGTTATTTCAATAGAATAAAGTAACACAAGTTATTGATGTCAGATAATCTTTACTGAAACATCGTTACATGAAAATGATGTGAGATTATAGCCTGGTTACCAAACCTATTATAGAGGCTGTAGGGCTCGGGAGCTATAATAGCTTTGGTAACCAGGCTAGTGAGATTATCTATCAGTCACTCACGCTGTCACTAGGCAGATATGATTATGGTACTTATCAATACAACCCATCTTTAAGAATTGACCAACCAACCTTTTCGGGAATGATTTCATCTTCAACGACCGGAACAGCATCGACGTCCATTTCCGGCATCTCCGCCCGTCCTTTCTCGTGCAGTTCCACCTCCGGAACCTCGGCTGGCTCCAGGTCACCATATTTCCGGAAGAACGCGCAGAAGTTGAGGGACACGTCGTCAACGGCGATGTCCTCTTCAACTGCCTCATCCTTGGAGCCAATACAACAATAATGTAATTACATTCTGTGCAGTTGTGAAAGAATTGCCGCGTCATGAAGATATTCTGCAAACTTGCATAGTTTCAGAAATACTGAAGAATGGAGAAAGTCTGAAGAAGACATCTGGACATCATTTGGTATAAGGGCTTTCAAAGCCGTTTCAGAAGTTATCAAAGCAAAGACAAAGTACAATACCACATTCTAGATCTTATTTTATGTGATCTACATGACATCAAATCATTTTGCTTAAAAAGAATGAGAGAATGTAAACAATTAAACCTTTCAGTTGCTACTTACCTCAACGGTGGGAATAATTGGAACCATCGTCCTCGTTATGGTAGGCGCCTCGATGCCCTTCAAACTGTATTGCATAATATGATATGATTTAACATAACATGATAATGTACGGTTAACATTTTAAGGTATATTTTGAAAAAAATAAACTAAACGGCACGAATAGGGTTTTTTAGATATTACGAATGACAAATGATGGCCAATTGTTTTTCAAATGTTTGTTTTAGCATCAGGGACAGATTGTATCATCTTCGTGTTATTTCTGACATTTGCATTAGTCAATAACATGTTGGATAATGTTGTGTCAATAGCTACTGAAATCGAACTAGGCTTCTGACAACCTGCAAGGCATATTAAGATGTCAACTCACTATTCTTCGTTCAGCTTCTTGAAGAACTCTTCGTTGACAGGATCTATCTCCTCCTTCTCCACCCTTTCCTTGACTTTCTCTTCTGGTTCCTCCTTCTCCATCGGTTCCAGTTCAACCTTAATGATAGGTTGAAATGCAAGGTAATATATTCGTGTCTTCTAATTTTCATAATACCTTTGTTGGCAAGCTCCCCCTGTGACCAACTCTCGCAATACATTCTTACAGAAAACTAGACACAGCAAATAATTAGTAGGATTTGTAGTTACAATGAAGATCAAAGTAATGGATCCTGGTCTGTCTGCCGTGGGCCTTACCTGGTTAAAGATGCTCTATATAGATCACGAAGAGTCGGAAACTACGCAAGCTCGTTCGGTTTAGCACCACACCTTCAAACTTCAATGCAGCTGTATGATGTCTATCGCTAGTACTTATTAGAATAAACGACTATTGTCGTCTTGTGATGGTTGTTTTTAACTTGCAGGTATCTCCTGTAACTCTGCCGTGTGCAGTGGAACGCTGCAATGCTCTTAGCATCGCCATCTGTTCTATCCACTGCGGACGGATATCTGAGAGAAACGTCGACCTTCTGCAACATGGAATTGATTTGTTTCTACATCTTTACGCCCAAGGTTATGCAGTGAGCTGGGAAGGACGACTAGGAAGGGATCTATATATGCTCTAATGTTAGCAATAAGCTGCTTGCGTGTTTAGAAACATCGCTATAGTACTCATTACAATATTGAACCAACACGTTAGTGAAACGTCTATGGCCTTGCTACATGTCTAGTCATATATTACATCAGTTATAAGTGGTGCAGTTTAATCGAGGTACGTGCAGTAATTAATTTTACGTCAACAGCTGCTACAGGTGTCAGACAAGGACATGCGAACTTAAAAAGCGAAAGAAGAATAAAATAAGATAAAGTAAAAGCTACAACGTTTATAGCAGATATCATGCTGCTTTGCTACTTGTGATATAGCAATAACGAGCACTACTGTAAAGTTATGGGCGCGTTATAGGTTTATGGACATTTTGTAAAGCTAGAGGAATGCATTGAGTCGATTAAAGAGAGTTACATAAATAGATTTGCGAGCTTGTGGGCGTAAAGAACAAATAGAAAGCAATCAATTTGGACGTTGTCCTCACCTCTGGAGCTTCTGCCGGCTCTTCGTCCTCTTCAATCGGCGCGATGGGTTCCCCCTCCCCGAGGTGGCGGAAGAAAGCGGTGAAGGTCGGCTCCAGGTTGTCCACGTTAAGGTCCTCGTCGTCAGGCACCGGCACGACTTGGCGCGACACTTGGGGAGTTTCCAGGTTCTTACGAAGCAGTCGCCGCTGTTCGTCCTCGTCAACGTCCGTGACCGTGTCGGGTTTCTAAGGAAGCAGACAGACTGTGGATTCTTCCGCCTGACCCAGAGAGGCACGCATACCTCGTGTTAGATGGTGCGGACCGGTGAAGAGTGCGACTGTTAGGCTACTTGCAATGCCAATGCTTCCCCGTGAAACCACTCACAAAGCCCTTAGCTTTGCTCACACCAAAGTGGAAGAGTGCACGTGTGATTTGTGCACCAACAATTTGTTAATACGTGCTGAGGCACCACACCAGGCACTCCGTGGGCAATCCCTCACCTCATGATGCCAAGAGTGGATGAACCATGTGCAATCTTAGTAAACCTGGCTGGAGGGGCGCACCGATGGCACCGAGATCCAGGAACAAGACGTTCCCAACCACAAGCCGTGGGACTTCACACAGGGTGGGGCAAAAATCACCCATGGATACCAGTTAGTGGACCACCTTTGACGGGTGCAGCTGCCAGTGCCGAATCAAGCCAACCAAAAGCTGCCATGCGCTTTGCAACATAACATCAAGCGCCGCTACATGAAGTCACCGTCAATAGCTGCCCTAACGGGCCCCAAGCACTGGTGGACTCCAAAGTAAGCTTGCAAATCATAATGCAAAGCAATTAAGAAGCCAAGCGATTACAAGCCGGATCGAAGAACATGTGTACTTCGATTATGCATACCAAGCAATCTTCATATGCAAGCTGCAAAATAAGCATGAGCCGTGCGTGCTGGTGGCATCTACTAAAGCCCATGCTTCCATGCAAAGGCAAAGCACATGTGCATGTGCATGTAACACATTGTTAAATGTACACAGATGAAAATTAGAAATGTTGCCAATACATGTGACAATGTTTACCAATGCCTGGAGATTATGCTGTTAAAAATATGATCTTTCATGAATTTGTGGATATCAATAAATTTTTATCAGTTCATAAACGTTCAAATCCAGTTGTGGGGATTCTTGAAACGAACTGCCATCAATTCGTTTTATAGCTAATAGCAAGAACCTACCTTCTTCGGCTTCTTAACCTTGAAAGCGTCCAGGTAGAAATACAAATCGAACATGAGAAACGCTCAAATACAAGGACGCCAATACATGTTACAATTAATGATTTCCTTCAATTACTAAATTGATCTATTGGTCAAAGCAACGTTTCGGTCAGGTATACAAAGAGTTGACGTTAACCATTGATTAACGCATGATTCTTCAGAAAACTAACAGATTCGTTCCTTCAAATTGGTTTTCACTGCCATTGCTTACATCAGAGATCTAGACAATCTACCATTCAGATGAAGATCTACAAACAAGTCTTGATGCAAAAGCCGATGTTAGAGTCTACATTACGTTAGTAGCAACGCCCTACCTTCTTCTTCTTAGGCTTGAGTGCCTCCAGGTTGATGATGGACTTGCCGGATTTCTTCTCGATGCCGTAGTGGACCTCCTTGGTGTGCTGCTCCACGATGTACTCGTACTCAGTGTCCTTGACCGTCTTCTTCTTCTTCTTCTCCGGCGGAGGCAGGTTGACGATGGCCTGGCCCTGGATCTTCTGGATGTCATACTTCACCACCTTTTTAGGCTCCTGTTTCGACAAGTATTGTCAACTGTGTCAACTACATAATTTTGAAGTACAAAGAAGGCAGAAACTGATTTCCCTTTGCGTTTCAAAACTAACTTGTCGTTTGATTGTAATTACATGTACATGTATTGCGAAACGTGTACAGTCAACTGTTGTTTAGCCCTTGGGGTGAGGTTATATTTCAACTACGTTGTGAAATAAATAAATCCGTTCTTCAAACGTATACGCCAATCATGCAATATATCATTCAATCTATCAACACGCCTGATGAAGCTACACCACAGGCCTGTTTTAGGCCGAAAGTTCCAAGCATTGACCCTCTACTTCTTACATGTTTCTGGTAAAAGAATTACCTTCTTCACGGATGGTTCATGCTTCACCACTGTCTCATGAGTTATGGTTGTTTCATACTTCGGTGGCGAGTACTGAAATGTAAAATGAAATCACACAAGAATTAGCAAAGTTGGGAAATGGTCAAATTAGCGATACCGATCGGCATGAGGTATAGTTACTATAACTTGAAACGATCTTTACTTGAACATTCGTGATGTTGTAAAATCAATCCCTCGCAGTTACTTTACGTTGCACACTCCTGTTTGTATGTTACGAATTCCATATGGTACAGTTTAATTTTAACTTGACTACCGAAGGCATTGCAACGTTAAGCAAAATTATGTATCAAAAGTTTACAAACTCCTTACCACGTCAACGGCAACGCTTTCCGTCGATGACCTCTTATCTGAAAATCGAAGGGTGGGTATCAGTAACAGAGTATAGAAATCATATAGCATATACTGAATACTTATCGATAATCATAATAAGAAATGATGTATCGATATCTGTAAAAGTATTCGAGTACAGTAACGGTTGGAAAGTATAGTCTTCTTCGAATGTTGCTTTTGCAGTTACAGTTATTCTTTAGTTTATGAATGTTGTTCCAAAATACATGAAACGTTTTACGTACCAAGTTCCGGTGAAGGATCGCGCGCCGGCCTCTTGCGCTTCGGTTCGTTTTTCTTCTCGATGATGGTAGCCCTGCAAGTTAAGAACAGACAATCTTATTGGACACTCAACTTGTTACAACCGATCTTATTGGTAAACGGCACTGTTCGGTCCAATAAAACGCTGAATTGGAATTTCAAATCCGACTGGATTGACTATAACCACGCATTCCCACTGAGTTCAAATTGTCACTACTGCTAAATGTGTAGTAGTTACATCAAACGTTTCGTCAATATTCTTCTAGTCTGAAACGAAGTTCTAATTTTAAAGTAAATAATCCGACAAGCCCTTGCGGCTAACTAGTACTGCCATTCAACGTTTTGGTCTTAATTTTATGAGAGTTTTTTTAATAACCACATTTATCCAATCGACAGTTCCGCATTAGGTAGAATGGTATTGCAACTGAAGCGTAATAATGTAGCATGGCAGCCATTTTGCAAATACGAAACCAATCCGCGTGTCTACAAATATACATAGTTAAAGGGCAGAGACATAAGATGCATTTCATTCCCTGATCCAATTGTCTCCAATGCTAGCATGCTACTGGCGATTAACTAATCTAGCAGTTGTAGCTGAAAAGCGCCTTTTCAAAGTTGAGGCACAAGTTCACAAATGACTCTTATAATGACTAGCGCATACAAAATATCTCTAAGTATTCTTAAGTCCTGGTGGCAGGTTTGGCAAAAAATAAAGTCTAGGGCCGATCTAGGAGTAGAACCCATGACCTCCAAGCCTATGATATTGAGTTCTTCAAGAAATGCAGTAATGTCAAACGTATTCCTGAACTTTCAAATGTTTGAAGCATATGAATTTCCTGAAACAACCCTTCTAAAGCCACCATATCCCCTGCATATTTGGCTCTCTACCAGCTTCAGCGTTTGAGATACCAGAAATTGACGTTACATTTTCCTCCTCTCTTGTTCTACCGGTTTCTTCGGGGGAGGGGTGGATGACCAGCCAGTATCAATGGAGATCACCGTCAAACTTATGATGTACATGAACGATAAGTATAAAAGTATAAAAGATAGTAGTACTTAAAAAAAGATGTGGATCCTAAGCTAGTACAGGTTTTCAGAATCATGCATATCAATTCCGCCGTTCCTACAGTTTGCATGTAAATAAAACTCTTCGTCTACTCCAAACGTAGCAACAAAACATTTTTCATGTAACAACATTTTTCTGGACTCGATCTACTAGTACCTACCAAGTGTAAAGACCCTTAAATAAGAGACTGTCTTAACTTAGAACGAGTGGACGTCTTCGGAAAGTAGGGCCTGGCTCCTTTCTAAGCAGTCAACATATTTATATTTCAAGACCGTATATTGATAGACTACATAACATGAAAATTTATAGATATGACAATTCTGACTCACGTGGCCGGAGCGGGAACAGTCGAGGGTTCCACGACCATCCGCGGAGTGATATTGACCGGTGACCTGTCAATAATCCGTGACGTAGGCACCATGGGGGTGGGGAGTGGTGCGGTCCATGGGCCGGGACTACTTCCATTGGACCCAGGGAGACTGTTGGTCTTCCACATCGGGCTGTTAGGGTCCGAAGGCGACATCTTGCGGAGCAGAGAAAAATTATTAGCTTCAGCCTATCATAACCAAGCCGCAACAATTGACGTACTGTGCAAGCTACAAGTTCAATGATTTTGTTATATGTTGGCAATTGTACCTCAATGATGCAAGTGGTGGCGTACAAATAAATCTTTGTTACTTGAGTGCGCCAGTACCACTTTATCTTGTATTATTGTTTTAAATGTTTGAATAAAACAGTTCGATAACATAAAAAAGCAACGTGGCCACTGTGATAGTATTCCTACAGTCATCTGTACGTGTGAAGATACGTACCGTCCTTGGGAGAGTAGACGGCTTGTTCTTGGAAACCAGTCTGGACATGCGCTCACCATCACCATCAGGAGTACGCACAGTGTACTTCTCATCACCAAAATCCTGGTCAAAGGAAATCAACAAGATGTTTAAAAACATCACGACGAATAACATTCTTATCATAGTCATTGAAAGTCATAATATTTTTGTTTGTTTGTTTGTTTGTTTGTTAGACGTTGCCTTTATTTTGGTCCACAAGTAGTGGCTTCATGTGCACAATTTAGCTATTCTTCCTGTGGTCCTCACATTAATACGATAATCACATAAGAGAAAGGGTTACTACAAAATAACAATTATCTACATGATACACAGCATACATAATCAGAATGCAGGAATGAAAGAATTCCAATGCAACGACTACATCACTACTTATGATCTCATGCGTTTAATACAAGTTAAACTTAAGACTATAACATCTTTCTGACATGTCACTCACCAGGGCGAATGTCTTGGGTGACCCCGCCCACCTCTTGACGTCCTCCAGTGGCCAGGTCTCCAGGATCTCATTGGTCTTCTTGTCCATCTTGATGATGTCCGTCTTACTGATGCCCAGGAGAACACTCTTCATCTTCAGGCCCTTCGCCTCCTGTGGGATCAATTCAAGTGTTTTGTGGATGATTTCGGTGTGCTGTTGCTACCTCCGTTAGCAGTGGAGGTATTGTGGTAGAATAAAGAAGCTATGGATGGATTTTAATGATATTTGGTATGTGGGTATGTATTGTTTCTGTCTTTGTAGAAGGACAATTCAAAATATGCAGTGAAAACAAAAGGATAATGGATCTCATCCAGATAACATCCTAGTTCCGAGGTAGAATCAAACAATAAGTCTGCATCACCTTTGCTACTATCAACAAACCTATCTCATTATATAGATGTGCAGACCTTATTCTAGAATCATAAAACGTTTTCATAAATCTGATGTATACATCGATATTATTTAATATTACCTGCAACACTAGGTACAAACTGTTACTTACCTTGACCTTAAAGAACTTGGCCCCACTGACCAGCGAATCCTAAGAAAAAAACAGAAAATATGAAAATAGTCGTCTTTATCAACACTAGATGTGGTCACTCATTATATCTTTTAGACACACCACAACAAGCAAGTACACCATGCATAACATCACTTTTTTGCGAATAGTCTGCATGTCCTGGACAAGGTTCAAATATGTCAACACCCGAGTACGTGCGTAAACAACGTTTATGACCTTGATAGACAACATACCAGTTAATGAAGAGTGACAGTTCCAGTGGACTACAGAACTGAGCACAACATTGTTTCACACGAAGAACATCTCCCATATACGAGAATACACATGTCTTTTTCAGCTGTGAAGTCCCATGGACATCTACATGAAAACTCAACATGGTGTCTCATCTATACGCAAATATAGCCATGAAAGTATAGAAGTGAAAATTATTTATTACACTGGTCAGCTTGGACAGGTAACGCGTTAGCCTTTGCCATGTATACATTCATTTATCAGAACTCCACTGATTATGCATAAGGAGTCGATGTGCACTACATTGCACAGGCTTCAACCATTGAACCCGGTGGATGTCGTTTAATTTACGAGTCTTGTAGCTTCTGTAGATTGTTAAGTCGTTTGTTCAGTCCCGCGTTTGTAGATCTAAGCTGCATACTTTGTGCCAAATGTCACAACCTCACAAACACGCCTTAGGCAAATCCCGAGACCTCTCTTTGATTCTACGCGCACCCGGTGTCTAATAGGTACAGTTAAGCTTGACTCTTACATCGTTTATGCACTTTTTCACTCAATTACGTTGGCAAGAGTAGAAAAAAACAGGTATCATCACTTTTAAATGTTTTCTTTGAACCACAATTGTGCATAGTTTGACGCGGTTTCACAATAAAGTTTATGCATTGTCTTGAAGGCCTTGGATTAAGTCCCTGAAGCTATATGATGGCAAACTAAGTCATGATTGACGTGGGATCTAAAGTGTGGCCTTTTGTTCAGGTGTGTCTACGTTCATTGGCACCTGCATGCTGTCGAGTAATGAGAATGTCATGAGACATAACAGGAGGAGAAAGTTCTCATGATGCCACCAAGCAGACGTTTACATGACCAGCGTTTTGGTAACTTTTCTCAATCACAGCATTTAGTTTTAGCAGTAAGGTGATATGTACAGTATACAACATACAGTGTATACACGTACACCTGGAGGTCACCAGTGTCAAATAGGGCCTGTGAACCTGTGTAAGGGACAGGTGTAGAGGTGTTACACAAAGTTCTATTTCTGTACTTGTACATAAGCTATCATAAGCCCCATAATAAGTATGTACCATCATTCTGTGTGATTAAATTTCACAAGACGCACCAACCCTACACAAACAGCCATGCTCGACTCCTTGTCCACTTGGATGGACACCGATTGTTGTCTTAATCCATTGCCTTGGGGAATGGTGAGTGTACCAACGTAAAGATGTCGGTAACTTATCAAAAACAATGGAAGAAGATGCGTATTACTCATGCAATCTCGTCTCAAGGCAGTGGAATTTTCCATGATGACCAGTGCATCGTCCTTGGTCATATCTGATGGCCGCCATTCATTTTACCATGCTTCGATTTCAAGGGCGCCATGTCATTGGGGTTATTGTATGTTCAGGGATTTAAAATGGATCAAATTTGAGTGTACACAATAACTCCTTGGGATTTCTGAGAATGCACGATGTGATTTTTATCGGTGTCGTTGTGAAAGCGTAGTAATTACTTAGTAAATTCGCAGTAACGATAAAAACTGACACCTCGGTGACAACGTTTTTCGTCGTCCTTCCCGTGACGGCGTCTTACGTGAGTGCGTACGGCAGATGCGTGAACTACGCCCCGGGCAGTGTCCACTGTTTATCCACCGTGAACAAAGATGCGTTCTTCTTGGGAATCAGTTTGTGGTTCTTGTAAATCCATCGTTTACCTTTTCTAGACTAACATCTACACACACAAGACTGTGGTGGCATATTCGCAGGATATTTGCGTGCATTCTGGGTTTGAAAATTGAAGAATCTACCTTTGTTTTAAAAAATCTAGGTCATGTATGTTAGCAACACCATGATGCTCGTTAAAATGGCGTTTTGTTGTCCGATTACGACTAGCTTCTACGCATTTTACGGCGTCAGTGGGCACATAAACACCTGTTTTTTGTTGTTCATACGCCTAAGAAGAGAAACATGAACACCTGGATCTGACACATCAGAAACTCCGAAGACACCTATAAAGGATTGTGCAATTCTTTCAAGACAAAGATACGGCTGCATCTTCGATAGCTATAGATGCTTACAACTGTTTCGGTATACCAGATATCTATCCATAAAATCTACCCTTCTTAAGAGGAGACTTTGTTGCTATTATCTTTCCGATTAAAATGGAAACGGTGAATCTAGGACAAGGAACAGGCGTCACCCTTCCTCTTTGTGTCAGAACGACCGAAAACAGTCACTTCTTCTAATAATATACTCGTATCTTATACCGTATCAACAACAGGGCATCGTAGGAACACCTGTACTTACTCCTTTGTTGCTCATTGTTTGTGTTTAGGCGCGCCCGGTGGTGACAGAGAATTCTCGTCCGTTTGTGACGACACAGGCGGCACAGTTGTGGGAATCTGCCGTCCTGCGAACCCGTCCTACCTGTTCTGTGCCGGGGTCCCGGGCCGAGCGGGGTTATATGTCATGCGGTGGACCAGGTGATGTCATGCGGGTTAAAATAGACACGCGTGCCCTGGGGAATCGTCACTAAGGCGACCACCTGTCCTGACGTTACTGCTCTGTGACGTGTCGACGAAAAACATTTAAAACATATAATACAATATGCTAGAACTTTTCAGGAGAGAAACTTCTGATCTGATACTTTACACAGTTAGATGTGTTACTATGCTGATAGTTAGGTATTAGAGGTATAGCTAGTTTGTATGTGAATTGTCAGTTAGGGTACGTTACACACTGTGTCACGCGATGATGACACATGTATGACGCATGTGCACTGGCGTCGTCATTCAAAGATGGCTGCCACAGGTTTTGGCTCTCTTGTGTTAGATAGCCAGAAGCGTTTCTACTGTTGAGATGGTATCTCATCAACGCTTTTAGCAGCAGTTTCGTCTAGTAATCACTTAATGATAGATAAGTATTGTGAAGTAAAACAAGACAATACTTAACGCTTCAGTTTACGTACCCACCAATCTATAAAGAAAGATTTTTAGTCAGCGTACGGAAACCAAATTCTCAAGTCAACAGCCTTACAGATTCTTTATCATACTGGCCTACGCATTGGATCCAAAATACCATTGTTGTAACGTTTAAAAGACAAAATGACGTTGGTGTACATCTAAGTTTATACCCAGACGACGTAAAGCTATGATAGTGATAGACGTAGCCTAGGGGTGTGTGGAAAAGTCCTAAGTTCAAAATACTAGGGCATTCAACTCTGATATCCCTAAAAACACACTAACTTCATAGAACGGACGATCATGTGTACAAATACGGGATGAGAAAGAGTATCATTAATGGGGATTCGAAAGTTAAAACGATTGCGCTAAGAGTGGGTACGTACGATCGTCGGACATATGACGTTCTGTTACCCTACCTCCAAACGTTAACATTTTACTATTGTTGGAAGAAACGTAGGGCCGTTTTGTAAAACTGACAGATAAAAACGAAAAGATTCCTCCATAACGTTAGCGTGAATGTGTTGATTACACGGTCCAATCGCGTCCCACCCAATCACATGTACATGTATATGGATATCAGACAGTCACACCTGTATAAGGCGTGGCTCCAGGTGAGGAAGCCATATTTGCACCACATGACAGAAGCAGTCTTGTCGGAGGTCAGTTCGGGTGAACACACCTCCGTACACCATGTCCTGTTACATGGCTGCGGCGCTGCTCCTTCTGCACGGGAGCCTGTTCACCGGCCCAGTCCAGGCTCGCTTCGGCTCCGACATCTCCACCGACAATGCAGATAACAGGTTTGTCTTGCCTTGAAAGTCCATCTGTGTTTACACCTATATTTGTGCCCTTCTGTATGTTTCCTTTGTGTCGAGAGGTAGAGCGAGAGAAGAACGTAAAAAAATGTCTCCTCTTTTAAAAGCCATTTTCCCACTAGGATAAAATTGTCCAGATTGAGCCGAATTGATTCGTTTTAATCCACTTCGAAGCCGGATCAAAGCGAATCGCTTCGGCTCGATCCGGACAATTCTATCCTAGTAGCAACAGGGCCAAAGACATAACCTGCGTGCAGATTGTGAGGTCTGTCCCTGTTCTAGGTTTGCTAGCATGGGGCAGGTGAAACAGTTACCATGCTTGTAGATTGTGAGGTCTGTCCCTGTTCTAGGTTTGCTAGCATGGGGCAGGTGAAACAGTTACCATGCTTGTAGATTGTGAGGTCTGTCCCTGTTGCAGGTTTGCTAACATGTGACGGTGAAACAGTTACCATGCTTGTAGATTGTGAGGTCTGTTCCTGTTTTAGATTTGCTAACATGTGACGGTGAAACAGTTACCATGCTTGCAGATTGTGAGGTCTGTCCCTGTTGTAGGTTTGCTAACATGGGGCAGGTGACGATGAAACATTTTTAACAGTGGGCCGTAGTGGACGGAGAGATATATTTTGTAGAGTGAGAGAAAAACGCCTGAAAAAGACAAAACCACGCATCTGCTTGGAGCTCATGAGCTCTACCATTGTTCTCCTTAACACCCCTCCCCACTTGTTGTAGGTTTGCTAACATGGGTCAGGTGACGGTGAAACAGTGGGCCGTGGTGGACGGGGAGGTGGACCTGAAGCTGAATGTTGAGGACACGCCGGGCGAGCTGGAGGCCTGGATCCTGGACTTCCAACCCTACATGCACAACGACGACCAGCAGTGGCCTGTGGAAGACGGTAGTTTTGTACTCAACGCGCACTGCAAAAATCTTTTTATCACCCCTTAAAATAACAATCAAAGCAATTACGCTTCCGTTTCTTCCTTCGCGTGTATCTTTACGCATGTTTAAGATGTGCGTAAAGGTAGAATTTCGTACAATGACGATCAGAGTCAACAGATCACCTGTGTAATCGTTTACATATAAATACAATTAAAGGCATGTCTCTGATTAGATTACTAGCCATGCTAGGCCTAGCTATAAACCTGAGCTACACTTAACAGTTTACATTTGTAAACTGTTTCCTTTGCATCCGAGCAAGGACATTATACACACCTTGATCCGAGAAAAAAATCAGCTCATAAAGTCACTTTTTCAGTACAAAGTTTGAGACAAAACATCGTTGCAGAAACAAAATATCAGTACTTAGCTTACCTATAGTTAAGTATAGAATAGTTGTAAGTATCTCGTACAGAATGGAGAGATTTGCAGTCTAAGTTACGTTTTTTCTTGCCTCTCTTACAGGATGGTTATGGTCGAACCAGACCGGTGAGTGTTCCAGTGTGCACACGTCTGCAGAGTTCTACACGTTTCTGAACGACACCGGCTTCCAGTCCCTGTCTGGGACGGGCGGGAAGAACCTGTTCAACAGCTACACACGAGGAACACTCGGCAACGGTCAGGATTTTGAAATAGTCAAAGCCGTCTCCATCATGCATTCTCACAGACATAGCCCCGCTAGTATGTCTAGATTCAGACCTAGTGAAAGGACATAAATGCTATCGCTTGAAAATGTTGAATCCCATATCAACATTTTCCATTTTTATCTTCCAATTGCCGTTTTACCTTCATTGACAGGCAAACTTAAACGTCTAAAGTTACATGCGTTAAAAGCATGTGAATCATGTCAAGTACATCAACACAACAATATTCAGATGCTAGGTTCTTTTTAGAAGTTATCTGTTGCGTTTTCTTCTTTCATTTTGAGGGAGTTGCCTTCAACTAGCTGGAGATTCTGCTGCCTTTTTGTGGCTGATACGAGACGAGGGTTCACCAGGCATCCAGGATAGTCGTGTAAAGTGCATTGTCCAAGGGCACATGTTAAACCATGTTCTCCCAAAACACTACACGACAAATTCTTGCCCTGTTCCGCAGCCCCCAGACGTACAGACGCTAGGTTCTTTTTAGAAGTTACCTGTTGAGGGAACATTGTGGTTTACAGAGCTAAACCATGTTCTCCAAAACCTCACAGAACAATGCACGACCATTTCTTGCCCTGTTCCTTAGCCTCCCGCCGTGCAGACGAGGTGGCGTACTCCGGCCCGCTGAAGACCCTGCTGGACTGTAAGAGCCAGGGCAGTAACGAGTCCGTCTGGAACATGACGTCAACGGAAGACGAGGTGGAGTTCCGCACCAGGCTTTACGTCATCAACGTCAGACCGAAGGACTACTACCGGCCACAGAAAGGTAACGTGTGCTTAGAAATTATGCTAATTATAATAACGACGCCGTTTACAGATTACAGATATCACTAATTACGTTATGTCAAATAGCAAAAGTTTCCAACATACTACTCACTTACTCTGGAGCATGTTTGGTAAGATTTGAAGGCTTCGGTACATGTAAAGCCTATAAACGTTATTTTGGCGGCAAGACACATGTGTATGTAGTTGGTATATTTCCAGTTGACAAACATCTTCCTAGTATTGTACAAGCTTAAGCCGTATCTTTCAATTTTGTGACTTTTAATGTGCCTCTACCAGGCTTCGGGAGGTGGCGGGAAAGAGTGGAAATTGGCCAAATAGAGAGGTAATTATAACATGCCGATGGTGCGGCAAACTCTAACTCCCTCGGCTCTTCAAGCACCTAGATAACAGATCTACACGATGTTGTTTTTGTAGGAGTGTCCTTCGTGCAGAGCCACATCGACCTGATCTGGCGGCTGTACCGGACGGCGCTGGCCCGGGTCATCCTCAGCTCGTCCGGCCTGCTCAGACCCGTGTTCGAGTACGCCATCGTCAGCACGGTGTATGACGTCAACGGGGACCCAGACTGGTCAAAGGTCAGACTATACTTATTCAAAATACATTTACTAAAAAAGAGGCGACATCGCAACTGTGGTCTTGAGTTACTCGGCTCATGATCTTGTAAAGGAGTACAGCAATTTTTATAAGCATGCCAAACACGTATTTGTCATATTTTTCCAAGCCAATTTTTTCTGGAAATATTTTCCAAATGATTTCGATTGAATACAAAAATACATGCGTTTATCATAATATATTTTGTCTCTTGTTTTTAAACTTAGAATGCATCTTAAAAGAAACCACAATTTAATTACTACAAGATTTTTGGTCAAGCCTGGATGTAGCATGCAACAAAATACTAAGTATTCTAATGTGTCGACTCAGTGAAAGAGGATTGAAATGCAAAATTGTTTTTCCAGGCCCGGTTAGATCTCCGTTTCATCACCATCACGGACTCTGACGTCCAGATGAGCGTGTACGTGAACGCCAGCGCGAACTACACGGCGCAGAACCCGGCTAACGGGCTGCGGGAGGTGGTGTCAGCCCCGCCCGTACAACCCGAGCAGACGCCGGCATGTCAGCTCATACCGCACTACATAGACGGCGGCCTGCAGTGTCATCAGGTAGATATGATAGCATCTCTTTCGTGGTAAAATGTTGAACTTTATCCCAGCACAGCGAGTAGACAGAGTTTTTTTTCATCAGGATAATTAATGACCAATCACTTCCGAAAGTAAACTCGCGAGAGTTACAGTTACAGACATGTGACCTTATTCACACGAGCTCTTTACGTAGTTGGTCTTCGAGCTGTGATAGTATTTTCATGACAATCTCGATACATGGGCACCCTTTTCATAAGTTACGATATACACAGATTGCAAATGCGTATTTTGTTAAACATACTGTATTAGATTTGTTGTGCTGCTGTGTCTGACCTACCTTGACATTCGTTGACCTGTATAATGACTGTCTTCAAGCGGAAAGAATGTCGGTTCGTGTTTTTTTTCTACATTTCTAGGTGTGGGATTTCACGTTCCTCCTGGACATCGACACGACATCACTGGTAGACGGGCAGCCGATAGACGCCACCGGGGACTTCTCCTTCATGTACGACTCCTACACATGCGCGGTAACCAATGGCAACGTCAACCGGACACTGTGCACCAAGGACGCCGTACCCGCCACCAAAGTGTCGGCGGAGATCACGATACAGACTACGGTAGAGCTGACGGACGCTGAGGCGGATGAAATCACTCTACACCTTCACAGGATGGTCGGTGAGTTTTGCATCCATACCGCATGGAGTGTATGTGCTTGGTTGTTCTGTTGGCTAAACCGCTGCTGTTTTCTGTGGATGGCGTTCAGCACCAAGGACAGACGTGTAGTAATGTTTGCTCGTACACAAAAGTGTTCGAACATTCCTAGTGCAACATCACCTCAGTTTGTGCACAGTGTAACCTGTTCTGTGTATGGACGACGTTCAGCACCAAGGACAGGTTTGTTTACGTGCTGAGAGGTGTGAACACGTAGTGTCAAGCACAGCACATTACTTTCAATATACATAAGAGGGCGTACTCGTATAGAGCTGCTTTTTTTCAATACTTTTACAACAATAAATGCAAAGCAATGCCGATAAACTTCAGGGTCTGACAATGAGGACGTGAGCGTTAACGGCCGCCGCGGGGTGGCGCACCTTGAGAACGTGACTGTGGAGGTGAAGTTCTCTCCCGCCTTCCTGCGGCAGGACTACCAACTGGAGCTCACGCTGTTCATGGTCTGCATCGGGAACGTCACCGAACATCCAGCGGTAAGAATTGAGGGGATTTAGTTCACGAAATATACTGATTTTTTTACCTTCTGAAATGCTTGACTCAACAACTCATCGTGTACTCCCTCAAACGTTTCTTGTGATCGGCGTTGCTCTTATTGTTATCACTTTAGTGAGTGATATGTTAAAGGTACATGTAACTGTTATAGTAGAAGTGTATTATTTGTAGCTATCTTTGCACCGTTTTAATATTCCATAATACGGATACAGGGGTGTTTAGTGGCGGATCCTGACGACCGTTACGTCGCCTGGAAGGAGCCACATCTGGTGTTTGAGTACAACGGCACTACCTGGCGGCATGGCGACTTTCTGTCGGACTACGAACAGCCGTTATATTGGCAGGTTAGCAAAGAAAGCCAAGCACCTTTGATAATACTACGTGAGACCAGACATTTGTGTTTAAAACAACATTCTGTAGTAAACAAGCAACCCTGCATCTGTTTTATAGTAAGTAGGACCTTCTTTTCCATCTCAGATTTTATCAGCATTGATTTTGATTTGTTACCACCAACAGGGCTATGTCCATGAGAGCGCGGAGAACCCCACGCCTGTCCACCGGTCCCAGTTCACTAACCTTGCCCTGTCAGCCCAGTCTGCTCAGTACACCATCACTACTGTCTTCTATCTGGTGGCCAAGGAGGGCAGGAGAAGACGGGCCCTACCGGCAAGACAAGTGAGTTTTTTGTGCAGCTTACCTCTGTGTCTCCTGCCTTATCTGCAGTTGTTTTTATTATTCAGTATCAGAACAAAAATGCCCGATCTGTTGAAGTACACACTACATGTACGTTACATTAAATAGCACCCTTGCTTTACTGTATCCTACTACAAAAGAACTCCTATCACACCAAATACTTGTAGCCTAATCAGCCCACTGTTCATCCATCCATCTTCAGATCATCATGAACAAAGTCTTGGAACCTGAGAACGTTCAACCCGCTGAAACTGGCCTGGCCTTCTCCCGTACGAGACGTGACATCATGGACACCATCGACGAACCCAAGAGCTTCGTCACCGGCTTCAGCTTCTCGGGCTGTCCCGAAGTCGCTAAATACAACCCCTACCGCAGGACATGCGAGTGTCCTGACAAGATGGTGTACAATTCACTCACATTTACATGTGAAGAGTTAGAACTGCCAGGATCAGGGGGTGGGTCAAGTGGCACACCTGACATAGGAGCTAGTTACGCCCTCTTGCTTTTGTCCTGTTTACTGCAACTTCTACACTGGTAAATTTGAAATGCTAGCAAGTCAGAAAGCTAGACAAAAAAAGAAGAAAATCTAAAGTCTGTAACTGTGTTGAGATATCGTGAAGAAAATTCTATTATAATGTACGAAAATGTCTAATATATATTTATCTACAGAGCTGTACAAATGAAGCAATTTTGCCAAATGATAAAATGTATTTTTAAACACAGAATAGACATAATATAAATCTTACACAAATACACTATAAATCTTGCAGAAATATACAATCTTTGTTCATGTTGTGAATGATATTCTACATTTCAATCAACAGCGTTTGAGCAAAGCAAAGAATTCTTGTAGTGTGTGATATACATGAATATTTGAATGTCAGAAATAAAATTTGGTGGAACTAGATCTATGATGTGTTTGTTGCTAGTGTATGGACAGCTCTTGCCATGTGAGAGTTTAGAGTCCTCTACAGCATTAGGTTTGCAACTTGTGGTCTTCTCTTCAGAAAATACATTGAGCAAGGGTGGAAAAGACAGCAGGGCAAAGTTCACAGAGCTTTATTTATATTCAGGATTTCAACACCATACCACACAATTACATGAAGCAATACATGTATATACAAGCGCTGTAATGTTACAAAATCAGTACATATTTTTGCTCGACATTTACTGATCTAACCTAGCCCTGATCTTTACACGAGTTTGGACACCAGTACATGATACATATATTAAAATATGTAGGTAGCTCCTACATGAATTTATTATCCTTATTATATCAAATCCTATGCATCCATCTTGGGCTGATATCCGACGATCTCGTCCCAACCTTTTCTGCACGTCTTGACAATCCAGTCATGTTCATCATCATCTGGAAATAGGACAAACATTTTACTTGTTAGTATAGGAGAAAAAGAAAGCTTAACTAGAACCTTCCAAATTAACAGAAAACACTATTGTTTCTCTACTGAGATGGGTGAAAACTTAAGCTTAGAAACAAGTTCCACATGCTTCTTGTCCTGCGGAGCCCATATATACATGTATATGGGTTGCACATACAGTACCATCTATTAGCATGATTTGGGGGTACATGTATTTCTTGTGCAATGTATCACTTCACAGCAAAATGCAATGAATGCAGAAGTAACTACGCCACCGTAGGGCAAAAAAGTCAGGGTCTATGACCTGATTAAGATCGAAATTATTCGAAAATATTATGTAAAAAATGCCAGCAAGGGTTAAACCTTGAAGATTACATCAGGCAGGATGCTAAGATCTCACCTGCATTTCTGAGGAACTTATGGTTGTAATCCACCACTACTCTGGTCTTGGGGTTGTAGAAACCATCGCCACAGTCATAGCAGCCTTCTGGGATCTCCCTGGGGGGTACTCTGTTGGTTAACTGTGAACGACCTGCAATGGAAGAGCAGAAGGAAACATGATTATTCTATCAGAATACAAATTTCCTCTGGTGAACAAAATTGGTGAGCAGAAAGTTTTCTGAGCTTACAAATTACTATATGTTACTGGTACTTTTGCAAATGATAGCAAAATGATTAACATTTTATAAAAAAACTGTGTGACAGGATTTGTACATTACCTGCAGGTTTGAGTCCGTTACAGATTTCTGTGTAGAAGCGTCTGTCGTACCCGTCACAGTATAACCACTCATCATCATCATACTCCAGACCATCCGCAAATGTGTACTTGCCCTGGAGGATGACCATTACAAACAATTTTGTTAAATAGCATGAAATTAAGATTAACTACTGGATACTTCTATCAAACGTCTTTGCTAAGAAAATTATACATCAAACCACGTGCCAAAAGTGCTTTCAAATACGTCGTGTACAAGCACAATATTATGCATATCATTAGTATTGGTCAGTGGTGTGAAACTAAACGAAAATTTAAGTCCTTATGTAAACCTGCGAAATTTTGGGTTATTTATGATAGCTTGGAACATATAAAACGTTACAGCAAAGAGCTTTAACCTCCTTGGTTAGTGTCATGTTCGATATGACGATCTGTTAGCGGCGCTTGAACCTCACCCTTACAGCTGATGTTTTGAAATTCCAGAATTAGAAACAAGGGGCTCTCACCTTGTTAGCGATGCCGTTTTCCCACTCGCCCTCGTACTTGCTGCCGTTTGGGAAGAACAGCGTGCCCTTCCCGTGGAACGTGCCGTCCTTCATCTCCCCGTCGTACCGCGTACCGGTCGGGAAGTTGTAGGTCCCCTTCCCTTCCATCCTGGGGAGAAATCAGCAAAGTGTCAGAATTTAACGTTACCAAAACAATGGTGTCTCATTCTGCCCCCCTCCCCACGTCGCAAAAAGGACCATACTAGGCCTCCGAACTTCAAAATAAAGCCATCATTTCCTACCCAAAAGTTCCCCTGGATATTACATTATCCTGTAAGTTGGTAATATATAATCAGATATGAATATTATAGCTTATTTACCGTCCATTGTGGAAGTCACCCTCATAACTGCTGCCGGTGTACTCCATTTTGTTTTGGTTGTCAAGGAGACGTGACCACCGCCAAACGTATGAAAGACAACATAGTCATAAACTACTCAAGTGGTCAATCAGACACAAACTATACACGAAAATATACTTAATAAATAATGTAGATGAATTAATTGGCATTTAGTTGTCTATTGTAAGTCGATATTTGCCTTGGTTAGTATCTTCCTTTTTGTACAACATTTTGTTGTTGTTTTGGTGTTACCAATGGGGTTACTTGCGGTCACGAGTCATGTGAGCGGCAAAGTCCAAAGTATCAACATGGCAGGGGAGAACTTTTGTTGCAGATTTGGTCTTCTGTTCTCCTTATTTTGCTTCGTACACGTCTCACAGTCTCAGCCAGCAGTGGTAAGATGATTCATTATGTCTTCATCATGTGTAGCGGTGAAATAGCGTCATGGGCTTATTGAAAGTGTATCATACTTGATTAGTTTTGGTGAAGTCGACTTTTGACAACCATAAAGTCTTACGTAATTTGATATGATGGCCTCAGCATAACACACTTAGCTGAAACTGTGTACATGTATATTGAATACTCGGGTTATGTTATCCAGGTAAAACTACATTTATAGAGTAATTCTATAAGACTGTAGATGATCAATTTCCTTTTTTTCATTGATTCCTGATATTGTATCTTGTGATGAACTCGTGATAAGTATTGATCGAATTTGGAACAATTCACGTGTACAACCTTTTTTAAAACTTCTTGAAACAGTCATACTCATACTCATACTCATACTCATACTCTAGTACTACTAGACCAATTAGATTTCTTGTAAAGGTGTCTTTTGACATTGTTAGAGACGTTTTTCTGTGCAGCATTAAAGTAGTCTATGCATCTTAAACTTTTCACTTATTATCCTGACCATGAAATATGACTGTCACAACTTCCCATCCGTCCCCAGGTTGCCCCCATAGTTGTAGAAGAACAGCTTCTGTGGTTGGCTGGTACAGCCGGGGTGGGGTACTACCGTATCCCGCTGCTGTCCTACACTCCGCACGGCAGTCTCATCGCGGTGTGTGAGGCGAGGAAGGAGGGATACGCCGACTTCGGACCAAAGTTTCTTGCTATAAGGAGGTCTACAGATAAAGGTGCAGCCTTGTAATCTCCAAGCAGATCCTAGGGTGGCAAAATAGAGTATTCAATTGGTCAGGCAGCATCCATTGCCCAGGGAGGTCCAATATGCCACTCTCTGGCCAATGGATACTGACTGTCTTTTGCCACCCAAGGATCTGCTTGGAGATTAGCATCCTTGTCTTTGACTTTGTACCAATACGCGTAATTTTGATGTGACATATCATTACATTTACATGTAGTTTGCATGTACATGATTGGATGACTGGTTACTAGCCTTGGTGCTGGATAGGCAAAATTTATTTCTCTTATCCTCCAGGTCTGACATGGGGGCCCATGGACTATGTACTGGACGACGGTTCCTTCTATGATGGGATCTCCCTGGGTGCCATCGTGGTGGACGATGAGACCGGGTCTGTCTTCATCATGTACAGGTGGGAGGAATATGTCAGTCTGAGTATCATATAGCCAGTAATCTCCAATGAGATGTTGAGAGAGTCTTTGGTAATTGCTAAGAAACTGTTCCAAGCAAAACCTTTGAATATTTATGGATGTCATCTGTTTGTAACAGTTTTTCCAGTGTTCAGCTAGCAGCATTGATGACAGTGTTTTAACAAGGATTGTTTTCCCCTTCAGCCACTGTCCCCACTATGACCACTGCACCGTGAGCACCACCTACCTTGTGGAGAGTACAGATGATGGGAAAACTTGGGGTGCTCCTAGGAACATCTCTGTACAGGTTGGCACCATGATGTTTGCACCAGGACCAGGCTACGGGATACAGGTCAGTTCAAAGTGCACTTAGATTTCAAAGGTGTTATGCTAAATCCTGCTTGTTGCATACTTTTTCTGAAAATTAACTCATTGACTTTACAAACTGTCGTGTACTGTATGAGAAAGCTGAAAGTCACCAAGCCATCTTACAACACTATGCAATACAAACAACTCTCAAGAATCCAGATATTAACATGATATCTGAAGATCTTTCTTTGCTGTCATCTTTTGCTTTGATTTCTTTGCTCTATAATGGACCTTGCTCCAAGCCTGGATTGTGAGTGAGTGAGTGAGTGAGTGAGTGAGTGAGTGAGTGAGTGAGTGAGTGAGTGAGTGAGTGAGTGAGTGAGTGAGTGAGTGAGTGAGTGAGTGAGTGAGTGATCGTGAGTGAGTGAGTGAGCGAGATAACGTTTGTAACAAGATACCAAGTAATGAAAGAAGAAAGTTAGTTGTGCTTGATGAGCTTATGAAACGTCCTTTCTTCATTGAAAAAAAAATGTTTTTATCTATGTGCACATTTCCCCCTATAGAAAAAATATGAGCCCCACGTTGGTCGGCTGATCGTGTGCGGACACAGTACGTTACGCGGGGACGGCATGTTCTGTCTGCTGAGCGATGACCACGGGCAGAACTGGCGCTACGGAGGCATGCTGAGGGGAATTCCCTACAACGCAGCCAAGAAGGGTGGAGACTTCATGCCTGATGAATGTCAGGTTAGGACACTGTATAATCTTTATATTTCTCTCCCTTGTAGAGCTAGAGGCAGACCTCTACCATGTTTTGAGGGTCTTGTCTCTGCTAATTTCTTCAGAAACCTGCAATCACACAGTTCTCACCTTTACACTTCATCTCAAGGTTGATTTTGGTGAACTATTCTGGGAAGATAGCCTAGAGACTTTCTACATATCCTCTATTTGTAGGGAATATGTGAAACCTTAGAAGGGGGTAGCATTTGGAACAGTCACCTCAATATACATATTCCATGACTACAGTACATGATGGCTGCTACAGGTGACATTTTCTCTTATTGTCACTCAGTGAGTGTCAGTATTTTTTGAATGAGACCTGTAGGGAATTGAAATCTTTTGCAGTTGCACAAAGAAAGAGAAGAGCTCTTTCTCATAGGTACAAAAATCACAATATGACTGACATCAAGTGTCAAGATATCTAAGATCACATTTTACCCCCCAGCCAATAGAGCTGCCAGATGGCACTATAGAAGTAAACATCAGGAATGAGGGAGGATATCACTGCAGCTGTCGGATGAAAGCCCGTAGCATGGATGGCGGAGAGACCTTCCCCCTGGAACATCTGATATTTGACGAGGCCTTGATCGAGCCGGCCGTGGCAGCGGGACTGTACTACAGCAACGATGTCATGTACTTCAGCAACCCTGCATCTACCAACTCAAGTAAGATGGTCTGGATTGGATACAGTCGTGTTTTTTTGTAATATCTTTAATTGTGTTAGGAGTGCACCTGTACTACTCAGTCTAACTACCGGTGTCACTTTTGTATCAAAAACCTAGTATGCAACACACCTCAGAACTTCTAACATGTATGGTTAACTTGTGGTCTTGCAGCCACACTGCATACAAACTTTTTCATCACAAAATATGAGAGATTTTTCATCTTCACATGGCTAGATATTTTGCCAAAGTGTAGGAGGCAAAAGCAATACATAGCAGACTAAGCTATCTTCTTTTACTAATGTCCTAACTCAAAGAGACTTGGTGCAATAAAGAGGGTAAAAGAGCCAAAATGTTTAAGATCACTGGTGCTAAAGAAATGTACGATGTATGTTAGCTGAACTTTGAAGCTGCTAAGGACACAATTCAAGAACCCTGCTCCTTCCCCAGGGTCTAACCTGACACTGCGCTGGAGTTACGACAGCGGCACGTCGTGGAAGGACGCGCTGCAGGTGTGGGCCCAGCCGTCAGGTTACTCCACCATGACCATGCTGAAGTCTGACCCTCAGGACGGAGAGTATCTCTACATGCTGTACGAGAAAGGCAGGGTGAACCAGACGTCTTACGAGATGCTGTCTTTCACTCGCATTAGTCTCTACGGTTTCAACTGATGTGGAGATTGCCTACGTGAAATCCCAGGAATTTGTGGTTTATGTCTTCAGTTTGAGAGCCATTAGAATGTATGTCAGAATTATCATGACATTACAAGAATGTACAGATATCTCATGGATTTTCTTCTTAAAAATATTATTGAATTGTGACAAGTTTTAAAACGAGTTTATAGAGAATGACACAAAAATTACATTCTTTTATTATTACATGTATAACATGTATGTATGCCAGCAACTGTATATTTGACAAACATATATGGACATTACTTAAGCCTATGTATCATTTGATGAAGCCACTGAGTGCAATAGTGAAATCTAACTCTTTAAATACTTAACTTTGAATTCTAGTATAAGAGATAAGAGACGATCTTATGAAAAAAACATGATAATTTGGTTCTGAAGAACATGAAAGAACAATTTATGTATGCAATTTTATTTCTATTGTGCAATCTACAATAAGTTGTGTCCCTAAATCAAGATAGTGATCATTTGTTGCAATTACTCAAAATTCCATCAAATATGTGAATAAAATGTACTGTGCCAAAATTATTGACCATGCATATGGGTTTGTAACTTGTATGGATCATTAATAATGCAATATAATCCTGAGCGTTTGGTGGAGCTTTATGAATTTTGAATGTTGTTACTGCGTGCGTGGTCTTCAGAAACAAGACAACCTACCTCCTGACAGAACAAGTATAGAAGTCCGTTTGTTACACATTACTTTAAACAACCCAGCGTCGATTGTGTGTTCAGCGCTAGCACCAAGGACAGGCCCCATTCTAGGTCGTGTGCAAAATTATCACAGTCCCCGGTCACGAGTCACGTGAGCGGCAAAGTCCAAAGTGTCAACATGGCAGGGAATAACGTTTGTTGCAGATTTGGTCTTCTGTTTTCCTTATTTTGTTTCGTACGCGTCTCACATGCTCAGCCTGCAGTGGTAAGATTATTTGTGATATCTCCCTGATATTGTAGTGGTAAAATAGTTAGCGTTCGGTTCTAAGCTAGGTAAAGAATAATGATACTTTATCAGTTTTGGCAAAGCTGAGGACTTTTGACAACCAAAACGTCTCACGTAATACTGAGGTATGTCATAACATAAAGTAGCTGGAACTGTATATCGATTGATTATGTTTTATCCCGTGTAAAACTTCATTAGAGCAGTTCTAAGTCTGCTTTTTCCTGAACTATTCATTGATTCCTGATATTGTATCCTGTGATGAACTCGTGATACCGGGTGAATATTGATCGAGTTTGGAACAATCCACAGGCACAATGTTTTCAAAATACTTGTGGCCTAAACGGTCATTATGATAATAGAGGTATGAAGCATTGTTGATTCATATTTACTACTGCAACTAGATTTCTTGAAAAGATTTCTTTCTAGTCTAACATCGTTGCAAGCACGTGATTTGGAAAGATTACATGCATCTTAAACTTTTCACTTAAACTTTTCACATCATGATCTAGTCTTTACCGGGCTTCGGGAGGAGTTTGGAAAGAGCAGAAATTGGCCAAATAGAGAGATAACATGCCAAGGTAGTTGGTCTGCTAGAGAGTGCGACAAAATGTACTCTCTAGCGGACCAACTCCCTTGGCATGTTATCTCTCTATTTGGCCAATTTCTACTCTTTCCAGCCGCCTTCCGAATCCGGGTAGAGGCTAACATGACCATGAAATACTGGTAACCTTCCATCCGTCCCCAGGTTGCCCCGATAGTTGTAGAAGAACAGCTGCTGTGGTTGGCTGGTACAGCCGGGGTGAGGTACTACCGTATCCCGCTGCTGTCCTACACTCCGCACGGCAGCCTTGTCGCGGTGTGCGAGGCGAGGAAGAAGGGCCTCGCAGACGCCGGGCCCAAGTTCCTCGCTATAAGGAGATCCGAGGATAAAGGTGCATCCTTACCTTCAGTTTTGTACTGAAGCATTTAACATTCATGTGACATATAAAATTTATATGTAGTTTGTGTGTACATGATTGGATGGCTGGTTTCTAGCCTTGGTGCTAAATTAGATAGAAAACTGTACAATACGTTTTGCCTATGTGCCTACGTACTAATTACCGCAATGTAGAAAACAAAGACAGTATGGTAATACAATGTAATGAAAATACATTCTTAACGTGTAGTTTGTGTTTCATTGGATGTCTGGTTTCTAGCCTTGGTGTATTCTACAGTTTCTAAGTAGTAATTACAGCAATACAGAAACAAAGACACTCCAGGAAGAATAAAAATACCTTCCTTTCACACCACACACTTTGAGTGTTAATTATTAATTATTTCTACAAAGGTTCTGTTAATTAATTAGTTTTATAACGATTCTAGCTTCTCATACTCATAGTCATTTTCTGACAACCAGCACACAAAATGCAGTGCTTACTACTAACCTTACTACTAAGTCTCACTGCCCATGTCTCCTAGGCCTGACATGGGGTCCCATGGGCTATGTACTGGACGATGGTTCCTTCTATGATGGGATCTCCCTGGGTGCCATCGTGGTGGATGATGAGACTGAATCTGTCTTCATCATATACAGGTGAGAAGAGAATGTCTGTAGTCAGTGTATCATGTGTGGGGTCGTGTGGCGTAACGGCAAAGCATTTGGCTCAGAACCAAGAGGTGACCCAGGTTCGAATCCTGCCATGTCACCAACCTTGTGCCCTTATGACTTTCCCCACTTCGCCCAGGTGTTAATGAGTATGCCAGAATGATCATTATCATGATCATGGGCATTGAAAGAAAAGAGCAAAACAAATGTAGCCTGTAATGTCGGACAGTCCCACGACATCTCGAGGAAGTATTTGGTAATTCTGTCAGGACTGTGGCAAGGAAAAACCGTTCTTTTCTGTGAAATCTGCAGTTTTTGTCAATGTTAAGATGTAAGCATTTGTGTTTGCTATCGAATATTGTATTCCCCTACAGCCACTGTGCCCACTATGACGACTGTACTACCAGCACTACCTACCTAGTAGAGAGTACAGATGATGGGAAAACTTGGGGTGCTCCCAGGAACATCTCTGTACAGGTTGGCACCATGATGTTTGCACCAGGACCAGGCTACGGGATACAGGTCAGTTATTATAAGCATTGTATAATAACATAACATAACAGTGAACACAGATTTCAAATGTTGATTTCAAAATGTTACATTCTACTCTCATTCTTCTTCTTCTCACAGTGACCTCAATGTCCTGAACCTATGTTGTGTCTGTTACCATGGTAACTAGTGTTGGGTTACATCATGTTGCAATTCATAGCAGGAGGGATTTACACTCCTGTCACCATAAATGAATGTGTTTGAGTTAACAGACCATATGCGAAGGTAAACATTACGCATTTGCCTTGCAAATGTTACCGTTCTAGTTATAGTTAGGTCATTTGTACATGTGACATAACGTTATTGAAAATAAAGTCTGTTTTTTTTATTTGAATGTTTTTCCCTTGTAGAAGAAGTATGAGCCCCACGTCGGTCGGTTGGTCGTGTGTGGACACAGCACGATAAACGGGGCCGGCATGTTCTGTCTGCTGAGTGACGACCACGGACAGAACTGGCGCTACGGAGGCAGGCTGCTAGGGATCCCGTACAACGTGAAAAAGAAGGGCAGGGACTTCATGCCTGATGAGAGTCAGGTTAGGAAACTATAATGACTATATCTAATCGTCATATTCTTCTCCCTTGTAGAGGCAAATACCGTACCCGGCTTCTACCATGTTTTGATGGTGCTGTCTTTGCTGGGGGTTTTCCTGAAACCTGTAATCACACCGTTCTCACCTTTTCTCAATGTTAACTTTGGTGAATCATTGAAGGAGGATAGCCTAGAGACTTTCTCTTTTTTGCCTAGTGTATTTGTTGTGAGTACTAGCATGTGAACCCTCTGAGTGGGGGTTTGTATTTGGAACACTCTGCCACCTCCACCGCATTTTGTCTTAGTCTTATTGTCAGTATATCTGAATGGGACCTTTAGAGAAGTTGAGAAGGGATTTGCACAAAGAAAGTTGTTTCTCATAAGTTTAGAAATCATATAATGTTCACATTTTTACCCTCCAGCCCATAGAGCTCCCGGATGGCACTATAGAAGTGAACATCAGGAATAACCGTGGATATCACTGCCACTGTCGGATGAAAGCCCGCAGCATGGACGGCGGGGAGACCTTCCCCCTGGAGCATGTCACGTTTGACGAGGCCTTGATCGAGCCGGCCGTGGCAGCGGGACTGTACTACAGCAACGGAGTCATGTACTTCAGCAACCCTGCATCTACCAACTCAAGTAAGATGGTCTTTAATGGATACTGTCATTCTTATTTTATAATACATGTATCTTTCATTTTGTTATGAGTGACACCTGTACTACTGAGTCTTTAATACTACCACAGTTTTGTATCAAAGTCTATACAACACACCTTGGAACTTCTAACATCGTGGTCTTGTGTCTACACCACTTACTAACTTGTTCATCTGCAAATTTGAGTGATTTTCAAATCTGTACATGGCTAGATCTCTCTTTCAAAGTGTAGTAGACAAAAATAACATATAGGAGTCAAAACTATCCTGTTTAACCCTAATCGATTTTCCATGTAGACATGCATAAAAGGTACAATAGTGGTGATAACTTGTGGTAAACTTAGATGCTAAACAGCTGAAGCTAATGCACATTTGCAAAGGGCACAAATTGAAGAAACCCTCTCCCTCCCTAGGGACGAACATGACTCTGCGGTGGAGCTACGACGGCGGCACGTCGTGGAAGGACGCGCTGCAGGTGTGGGCCCAGCCGTCAGGCTACTCCACAATGACCATGCTGAAGTCTGAACCTCAGGACAGCGAGTATCTCTACATGCTGTACGAGAAAGGTCCGGTCAACAAGACGGCCTACGAGATGCTGTCCTTCACTCGCATCAGTCTCTATGGCTTGAACTCATGTGGGGTCGTGTGACGTAGCGGCAGAGTGCTCAACTCGGAACCAAGATGTCCCGGGTTCGAGTCCTGACATGCCACCGATCTTGTGCCCTTGAAAAAGGCACTTAACACGACTTTCCTCACTTCGCTCAGGTGAAAATGAGTATTGTATTGCCCTCCCTGTGTTGGTGTCGGCATTAATATAAGTTGAAAAACGTGAATGTGCCGTTACCACGTCTTGTGATTACATGTTGGAATATAAAAAAAACTGATGTGGAGATTGTGAGTGCAACAGCAAAACGCACTGTGTTCTACGTGCCTACGTGTTCTTTCTGGTGTATATTATAAGTTTGAGAGCCGTCAGAATGCATGTCATTACAAGAATGTACAAATGTATTAGATTTGTTCTGAGAAATGTCATTGAATTGTAACGTTAAGTTTCAAATAGACTTTGAATAGAGAGCTGCACTAAAAATTACACTCTTTTATTATCATAACATATGCCATCAACTGTGGGTTTGACATACTTGACAAACATATATGTACATTATTTAAACCTATGTATTATTTGATGAAGCCACCGAGTACAAAATACCATCATAGTGAAAATTAACACTTTGAATAGTTTACTTTCTTGTATAAAGAGATGTAAATAATATTGTGAAAAAGATCGTAAAACAACCCAACCTTGATTATGTGTTCAGCACAAAGGACAGACCCCATACTAGGTTATGTACAAAACGATCACAACCCCTGGTCGTATCGGCCTACAATGGCTGTCACTCCAGTCTTACTACTGGTAATACTCCCAGGGCGTCTTTCCTCAGGTGTGCTCTTCTTACTCGCCGTTGAAGGCGGCCTCCTTTGATCTTCCTCCTCTTTGTTAGACTCTGCTCTAGACTTGGGCGGGCTGCTCCTTGATCGCGGCGGTTCGTCCTCCTTTGTTTTCGGGCGCTGGCTCGAGTGCGTCCGAGGAGGCGTCACGGAAGTTCTTGTCGGCGGCTGAGACTTTCTCCCGGAGCCGGGTTTCTCCCACGAAGGGTGCGGGACGTGCCGCTTGTTCGCGTAGCTCGCTTTTTCCGAATTTCTTGGCCTGTCTTGTCGTGGTGTGTCCCCGCGTTCTGTGTGCGGTGTACGCGGCAGGGAGACGTCGTCCTCCTCCGACCCCTGCCTCGGGGACGTCGTCGCGGCACGGGCGCTCTGTATGTGCCGGTCTAAGTGGTCGTCTAGGTAGTTATCGGCGTACCGGATCATCTGTCTCAGGGCGTGCAGCGCGAGCACGTCCACGGCGAGTTCCGTCTCCAGCTCCGAGTCGTAGTTCTTGGTGACCAGGATACTGGACTTCGGGATCCCCGTGGTACGGCTTAATAGGTCCACGTGCTCCAGGACCTGTCTAGTGGCAAAGAAAGATAGACACCAATCAACTAACCTAAAGTTATGCAGTGAAAGAAACGCACAAATCACAGTCAATACGAACAGTCACCATCTTTCGTTCACTTACTTTGAAAATCCTTACTTTGTCACCGTTCTGCTAACGTTAAACACTTTTTCCTTAGAAGCCGACAAATGCTTCCTTCTTACCTGCTACGATAGACCATGCTAAGGTCTGATCCAACATGTGAGCATGCGCGGTCAACCTTGGTCAGCAGCACTACAAACGGGATTCCTATGAAAGAACCGAGATTTAGCGGACAATTTACATAATAGCGTTTTTTTCGGTTATTGTTCATGACGATTTTTTGAAAGACAATAATACATCACCAACTCCACTATTATTACACTAAATAGATAGCTGCATTTTTTGTCAATTTCTTAGAAAAGTTACTTTCTAACGAAATGTTTCAATACTTTTAAAAAGGCGTGACATTACGTTACCTCTCTGGCTGGCCTGTGCTCGGATGGCGCCGAATTTCTCGGTGGTGACACGTGACATGGTGCCCACGTCAGAGATGTCCATGACGTACACCACGCAGTGCGTCTTGTCGCCTAGCGACGGCGCCATGTTGAAGCCAGGTACGGTTTCAGCTGAGATGCGCACCAGGGGGTTGAACTGTACAGACACGCAGTCTTGTTAGTACACATGCGCACATTCAGTGTCGAAACAGATAGCCAATTGGTGACTTTCGTTTTGATGAAACCTTGGCCAGCCTTGCTGCCAGACTCTTGCCAGGAGTAATATACCGGCTAGCTCCTCGGCTCCGACCCCCCAGGTGCTAGCTCTGGGATCGGAGCCTGTGCAGTTGTGGCTTCCCCCAGCCGAAGGGAGTATTGTGTCGAGTCGGGGTCTGGCATCAAAGCTAATATAACTCAAGTGCTTCATTTCCAGGCAAAACGTTACACATGAACGTTCAAGTTTGCATGAAAGGGTGTCTACTATTTCTACCCATCTCAGGTTCCCCCTGACCTGATATCTGTCCGGCACGTTCCCGTCCGGGATGTACAGATAGTCGTACGTGTTATGTGTTTGTACGGATGGGTACATATCTGTCTCCCTCTCTCTATCAGTCAGTCTCAAAAGACTATAGCTACAACTTAACTGTGCAACAACAGGCATAGGTATCTAAGATCTCTACATCTGAGTTTCCCTCTGACCTGATATCTGTCCGGCACGTTCCCGTCCAGGATGTACAGCAGGTCCACTATGTCCAGTCCGGACTGCAGGTCCTCCAGACCCAGCGTGTCGCACAGCCGGAACCCCAGACACGGGCCCTCACGGCTAGCACGGACGTCATACCGACGGTACTGAGACAAGACATACACAACGGACCGATCAGTGAAGGAGGAGTGAGTGAGTAAGTGAGTGAGTGAGTGAGTGAGTGAGTGAGTGAGCGAGTGAGTGAGTGAGTGAGTGAGCGAGCGAGCGAAAGAGTAAATGAGTCAGTGAATAGATTCGGTGAATGAATGATAGAAGTGAATAGATGGATGTATGGATAGATGGATGGATTGATGGATGGATGGATGGATGGACGAACGAACGAATGAATGAATGAATGGGTGAATGAATGAATGAACGGAAACACAGTCAGCACCAGGGACAGGGAAACACAGTCAGCACCAAAGACAGGGAAACACAGTCAGCACCAAGGACAGGGAAACACAGTCAGCACCAGGGACAGGGAACACAGTCAGCGCTAGGGACTGGGAAACACAGTCAGCACCAGGAACAGGGAACACAGTCAGCGCTAGGGACAGGGAAATACAGTCAGCACCAAGGACAGGAAAACACAATCAGTACAAGGGACAGGGAAACACAGTCAGCACCAGGGACAGGGAAACACAGTCAGCACCAGGGACAGGGAAACACAGTCAGCACCAGGGACAGGGAAACACAGTCAGAACCAGGGACAGGGAAAGAATGAATGAATGATCTTATGGTTGAGTGAGTAAATAATGACGTACCTGTGTAGTCATGCTGTGATTGGTCACTCCCGTAGCCGCCTGGTTGGTGACGTAGTTCCGGAAGGCGGAGTTGACGGTGTTGAAGAAGCTGGATTTCCCGGCAGCCACCGGGCCAACCAGGAGGATGTTCACCTGCTCTATTCTCAGCTCCGCCAGGGGGCGGTAGTGGGCTATCTCCTGCTTCAGTTGTTCCAGAAACCTGTGAAACATTGAGTCCAAGAAAAACTCCATCAACGGATTAGTCATTTGTAAAACGAGGGATGCAAGTAAAAATACACTCTTGGGGTCCTTTGTATAATAAGAATTGAATAATAAAAGCAGCGGTCAAAGATACAAGCAAATTCTTTAATAAACAGCACCGGCTTTTGGCAACAGAAACTGCAAGAGCAGGTAGGAGGAGCAAAGGACGCTTACAGCAGACTCCAGTCCACTTCCCGCCACGCTGAAGACTCCGGCAGGGCCCGCCAGCTGCCCTTGACGCCGCCTACCGGCTCGTCGCTGAACTGCACCATCGGTTTTACCGCCCTCCTCCTGTCAACTGGGGCCGGGGACGTGATTGCCGACCTCATTGGTTCTGGATTGACAATATATACAAAACTACTTCACGTCAAGCAACATTTAAGAAATAAGCGTTTGCTGCAGCTTTCAGAATATATAGCCGTTCGTCGGTGAGGGTTAGACATCCAGGTAATAAGATACGCCAAAAAAACAGTTACTCAAGCGACTGGATATGATTTTGGAAACGATCAAACGTTTCAGGCAGTAGTGTCCTCTGGCAGGTGACACTAAAGACTTGCAGGAGAAGGTAGGTTAATATGCACGAAATAAGAAGGTTTATATATCAGTTCCTTCACATGTTTTGATTTATGCAAAGGCAATATAACGTACCTGTGACCTGGTACACTTCAATGTCCTTAAATCTGTAGTCCCCGCCGGTCAGTTGCAGTCCGTTGGCCATATAGAACCCGTCACCAGGAGTACAGAACCCATTAGTCTTGGTGTAACCGTCCTTGTCGTTTCCCGACGTAAACTTCCCGCTGAAGAACATCAGGTCGTTCCCGAAGGTCGGTCCGTGAGAGAGACTGTGGCGGACAGTGGTCCGCGTCTTTCCCTGTAAAAAATGTCATTATATTGTTGAAGTATTGGGTAAGAATGCCATGAAAAACATGTTTGAGGACAGGATTTTCTACTCTCCAAGCAGAGGTTGGTGGGGAAAATTGTGACATTCTTTATCATGCGCCCGGTTTTTGTCCGCCTTCCCCACCAACGGA